TCTTTTGCAGCAACTTGGATGAAACTGGAGACCAGTATCCTAAGCAAAGTATCTCAGGAATGGATAAACAAATACTGCATGTTCTCACTTATAAGCTGGAGCTAAATGAGGGACATATATGGTCATAATGTAGTGTACTAGACACTGAATACTAACAAACAGGGAGGGGGCAGTGGGGTTGATAGATAAAAAGCTACCTCTCATGTACAATGTATACTATTTTGGCAATGGGTACGCTGAAAACCCTGACTTCAGCATTATACAGTTCATCCATGTAACAACATTTGTACCCCCTAAATCTACGACTTAAAAAAGAAAAAACTTCAAGTCCAAACAGCCTATATAACATCTTCACCTGTATGCTTTTTTTAAAGGTAACTTAAAATAAACATGTCTAGAACTAAATTAACTTGGTTATCAGGGAAATAAAAAGCAAATCACAGTAAGGTATCAGTTCACACCTATTGGGATGGCCAGAATCAAAACACCAGAAAATAAGTGTTGGGATGGACGTGAAAAAACCAGAAACCTCATACTTTGCTGGTAGAAATGTAAAATGGTGCAGTCACTTTGGACAACTGTCTGGCTATTCCTCAAAAAGTTAAATATAGAGTTACCATATGACCCAGCAATTCTATTATAGGTATATACCCAAGAGAAATGAAAGCATATGTCCACACAAAACTTAAATACAAATGTCCACAGCAGCATTATTCACAATTGCCAAAAAGTGGAAACAACCCAAATGTCCATCAATAGAAGAATGGATAAACAAAGTGTGGTCTGTCCACATAATGGAGCATTACTCAGCAATAAAAAGGAATAAAGTACATGCTACATGAATGAACTCTGAAAACAGCACACTAAGAAAAAACACCGGTAATAAAAGACCAGATATTATATGATTCTGTTTATATGAAAAGCACAGAATAGATAAATCCATAGGGACACAAAGTATATTAGTGGTTACCTAGGGATGAAGGCATTTGGGGGGAAAGGCTATGACTTCCAGTGAGTAGGGAGTTTCTTTTGAGGATGACAAAAATATTCTAAATTGCTTGTGGCAATTGTAGCACAACTCTGTGAGCATATTAAAATATTTTAATTATACACTAACAAAAATTACAGAGGTATGAATTAAAAAGAAAAGAATTAATGCTCTCCTCCTCCAGTTTTTTCCCTGTCTCAGCAAAAAGCAACATCATTTATCCAATTACCCAAAAAATAAACGTGCATTTTGTCTTTGGCTAACCCCTAATACACCTCCCAAATCCTGTCTCCAAGTACAGGTGACTCTTGAACAATGCAAGGGTTTAGCAGTGCAGACTCTTGTGCAGTGGAAAATCCACATATAACTTTTGATTCCCCCAAAACTTAACTAATAGCCTACTGTTGACTGGAAGCCTCAGTCAATAACATAAACAGTCCATTAACACATATTTTGTATATTACATTTATTATATACTATTATAATAAAGAAAAAACGTTTTGAGAAAATCATATGGAAGAGAAAATACATTTACAGTGCTGTACTGTATTTACTAATACCATTAAGTTTATGTGGTCTGTTTACAAGTTGAATCACCTGTCTAAAATGGTGTACAACAGCTGCAGAGCTCAATCTATAGTATTTATCAAACAATTCAGCTTTTTCTTATAATGTCATAAATCTTCTCTGCTTCTTGAGAACACTTCAAGTATCACTAGTGGCACTCCACATGGGTCTCCTGGTATTATTCAAGGTTTATGGTATTATACTAAACTCGCTGAAAAATACCCTAGAACCATAAGAGATCACTTTTTACTGTGATATGCAATTTATTGGAGCAATGCTCATGTGGAGATGATCATCATCACATAGCATTTAAAAGTGTTCACTCGCAATACTTGATCTCACTGCAATACCAACAAGAGGTGGCTACTTTTACGCAGTTATGATTTACTAGTGCATCTTTTTATTTCTTACATTTTTCTTGACTATGAATAGTGTCATGTACAGTCTGTGTTTGTGTGCATAAGTTAAAATAAAAATATATATTTTAAAATATATATTTATAATAGATTTGTGAATATTTTATGGTAGTAAATGATAAAATAGACTACAATCTACATATATTTTATACATGCATGCATATCTTTTTGTTATTTTTTTCATATTTCTAGGCTGTGTGATTCATCTGTAAATTTTTTCCAATTTTTATAATTCTCCAAAATAAGTTCTAGTATACTTAACTGAAGAAAAAAATCTGCGTGTAAGTCCACCTGCACAGTTCAACCTGTGTTGTTCAAGGGCCAACTATATTATGGACCCAATCTCTTAAACATCTCTAGAATTCATCCACCTCTATACCTGAGGCCCCAAGCCTAATTCAGGACACCATCAGTCTACCACCATCTTTTCACGCTCTACCCTCTCTCTAGATCTCAACTACTGGTGACAACTTTAAATAACAATCCAAATTATAAATTTATCAAAGACCTACATTCTGACTGCCAAGCTGATACATTATACTGCCAAACCCAGCTAGTTCCAAACTAAAACCTTCATCTTTCTCTTGAAAACCATTCTTCCTGCAAGTTTCCCGAACCAGAAATGTGGGAATCAACCTAGACACCTTATTCTCTCTATACCATATCCAATTCATTACACCAAGTCTGGCCAATTTAGCTCCACAATAAATCTCTACCCTATTTACTTCTATTTTCTGCCATACTCCAGTCCAAGTTACCATTATTTCCCACCTGGGCTATTACAGTAGAATCCTATCTAGTCTCTCAAATTCCAACCCATTTATTTAAACACACATTAGATTATGCAATTCCCCTGCTTTAAAAATTCTCAGTTACCTACTATTATACATTTTCATGCCTCAGGAGGGCTTCTATATTAGAATGTCTCAGTCTTGAATGCAACCCTTTCACTGGTCTATTCATCCTTTAGGGTTTAACTTAAATGTTACATTTTTAGAAAAATCTTACCTAACCTCATGTTATACTTCTCTTATTTCTTCATTTAAATTTATAAAATTGTAAGTACATGGGTATTTGCTTCTAATTACAATTTGCTTCTAATAAGCTACATGTAGTAAGGACCATATATATTTTATTCACTTCCATATACTCAACACTGAGCACATAAATGCATATTAACAGGTGCTTAAATATTTGGTGAATGAATGAAATGACAACGTAACAAAATGTATATGCTTAATGATTAACACAATAGAAGACTACAAAGCAATTTTCTCATATCTTTTTTATTGATATATCATAGTTGTAAATATTATGACAGTACATGTGATATTTTGATATATGTATACAATGTGTAATGATCAAATCAGGGTAATGGGGTATCTTCGAACATTTATCTTTTTTGTTGGGAACATTCCAATTCTTTTTTCCAGCTATTATGAAATATACAATAAATTACTATTAACTATAACTTCTCTACTATACTACTGAATACTAGAACTTACTCCTTTTAAGTGCATTTTTATACCAACTTCTCTTCATCCCCCACTTCCCTTCCCAGCCTCTGGTAACCACCATTACATTCTATTTCCATGAGATCCACTTTTTCAGCTCCCACATATGACTGAAAACATGCAGTTATCTATCCTTTTGTGCCTGGCTGATTTTACTTAATATGATGAGTTTCATCTATGTTGCAGCAAATGACAGGATTTCATTCTTTTTTTATGGCTGAATAATATCCCATTGTGTATATATTAATATATATGACATTAGCCACTCATCTACTAATTAGACTACACTTAGACTGATTCTATATCTTGGTTATTTTAAATAGTGTTGCAATAAACATGGGATTGCAGATACCTCTTCAATATATTGATTTCCTTTCTTTTGAATATATACCCAATAATGTTATTGCTGGATCACATAGTTCTATTTTTAGTTTTTGAGACACCTCCTACTATTTTCCACAATGACTGTACTTACAAAGTAAATTTTAAAGTTAAAGTAAACTATAGATTAGTTAAAACAGATTAATCCATTACTCTTCATTTTTTCCTTATTATTTGTACCTTCATTGTGTTTGCTATAGATGATAGATATATTCTTGCAACTCTGCCTATTCTTTTTCATCCTATAAAGTGTTATCAAGGGGATCTTCCTAGGACACCATTTTTTACTCTGCCACTCCTTTGCTTAAAATCTTATGAAACAGCCAGCCTCAGTTTTCACTGTTTTGTCCTCCAGACAGGCTGATAAATGTACAATCGGACAATCACTCCATTCCCAACATCTCTCACTTCCAATTCCTTGTATCTAGAATGGCCTTCCTATTGCTCTCCTAAATTCTAAGTCTCAGTCAAGAACCAGACTAAGTTTATCCCTAAACTTTTTCCCAGTGATTTTAGGCTGAAATGCTATGGTAATTATCTGAATTATTTTGAAAAAATTAGATACTGGTTTTCAAAAAAATGCTTAACTATTTCACGTGTATACAATGTTTCCAATGGGAAAAATGTCCCCCCAAAAATGGGCATTACACATACTTCTGCTTCTTTCTCTACTAGTAGATGCATGACAAATATATAAACTATACTCTTTAGAGAAAAAAAAAAACCCAATGACAGATAAAGGCCAATGTGCAGAGCTAAACTTTGGTGAAAGTTGACAAGGGGAATTTTTACATATAAATATTTAAAACAATGAATTTAGAACATCTCAAAAAGCACACTTTACCTGTAGATTTTATTTCTTAAGTAAAGATGGGATGAGAATAAACATAAAACACAAGGCAGTATGAAATTTAAGACACACACCTACAAATAAAAACACTACTATTTATATTTTTCTCTCAGACACTACATTTTTACTTTCTATAGTTCCTATAAATTGAGTTTGTTCTCTCTGACCTCACCTTGACTTACCTAAAATAATTAAAATGAAATGCCTTGTATTCAAAGTTTGTAAATGCTTGGTTCTTAGAACATAAATATTGCTGATTTCTCAATTCAGTATTTAGTTCTTACCTGCAGTTTCAGATGTATTTGAAATAATTCATCATATATCTGACTAACTTGATATGGAAGTAAACTCTGTTTGTTTGATGCTTTGGATTTTGGGGAACTGACAGGTTTCAAAGGAGAGTCACTTGCAGCACTCCAGCATTCATTCTGAGGTCTTGCTGAGGCCATATTAGTAGGCAGGGCAACTGGAAAGAAAATAAAATTTAATTATAAACTTTATTAACTTATAGTTTTTAAATACTCTCAGAGTAGTCTGTAGTAGTTTTAAAAAGTTTCAAGAAAGAAACAAAGAATTATATAGCAAACATGGTAAAATGGTAACATTTAGATAATGTGAATGAAGTGTATACAGGAATTCTTTGAACTCTTTGTGCAACTTTTCTGTAAGTCTAAAATTATTTCAAAATAAATTATTTTAAATGCATAAAACAGTCATGTTTCAACTGCCTAGCCAAGAAATGGAAAGTTACCTCAGAAACCCCTCATCACATTCCCCCCATACCCTAAACCAAATTAACCACTAACTCAAAGTGCTGATCATTGCCTTACTTTTCTATTTAATTTCCACTACTTACATTTAAGAAGTTCTTATTTTGTCTGTTTTTAAACTTTATATAAATGTCTGTAATTATATAAATCCTATAACCACCTCCTTTAAATGAGTTGATGAATCTCCACTACTTTATCCTATTTTATAAATACCGTAAGCAATAATATTCTCCTACAGATGGGTATCTGTGCTGCTTTGACTATACAGATGCTACCAAGTCTTATACATGTTCAAGAGGTTTTCTAAGGTATGTGCCTAGTAGCAAAATTGTTGGATCACAGGCTTTTTATGCATGTTTAACTTTACTAGTAATACAACTGTTTTCCAAAGTGTTTACGTTAAGTTACTCTCCTGATGGACATGGATGAGTGAGTTCCTCTTGCTTCATATCCTTGCCAACACTGTATTGTCAGAATTTATTTTCTGCTAACAATGAGAATATGAAATGCTCTCATGTAGTGTTTTAACTTGCATAAGCCTTCTGGGAGCCCAGCTTTAAGGAGAGAGTCTCCCATTATATTCCCCATCTTGAATAGACCTTGGAGGAGTCAAAATAAAAAATAATGTAAATTAAAAAAAAAAAAGTTTCACTTCACTCAGTTCAACAAAGTCCCTAAAAGCAAAAGACACACTCAGTGTTCTACATACTTCTTTAGGTTTCCATCCCACCAGTACCTGGCCTGAGCATTCCTTACTTTTATATCAACCTTCAAATACATTCAACATTTTCTTTATCCTATGTTTTCCATTCCATTCAGTGGAAAAATCAAACATGTGGTGGGAAATATAAGTATAGGCAGAATTATTTTTCATCTTCCTCAAATGCTGAGGTCAATGAGACAAAAGGGATGGTGGAGAGGGGGAAAGGGGAAATGAATGTGTGTTGTGTATAGATGATATATTCCCAGGAGAAGAGAGTATGCTGGTGCCATCAATGGGGCAAGAGTGCTCTCAAAGTTTTGCAGCCAAGAAGGCAAAGGGCACCATTTCTGCTTGCCTCTTTCTTTGAAACGATAAAACTATGAAACACAGCCAGGTCCACAGAGAGCTGCTACTAAAGTCTTACCTTAAGTAATCTGGTACATTTCCTCACAATATTAGGGTCAAATACCATCAAATTTACTCACTTTCTAACAAATACTGACACGAAAAAGAACCAAAGACAATATCAAAAGTACTCAGGTGATTAAGTTATTTTGGTAAGTTTTGAGAATATAGAAGAGTACTGAAAAATAAGGAAGTTTATTTTTCTCTTTTCCTTTAGTTGAATAACAAGCACTTTAGTTTAATAATAAGCACTATCTTGTGGCTTACAGAAATTCACAATACAAAACTATATAGCATCCTGAGAACCAGTGTTATTACTATGAGATAAGCTTTATATGCTCCATTTAACAAAGTTACTATTTAAATGACTATTCTAAAATGAATATTTCTTTTACCTTTTTCTATTTCTTTGAAAGATTGCTTGGTTATTTTGGATGTACTAACTCTATGATTATTCTCAATTAACTCTTCCTCTGTTTCCTGTTTCTTCAAATCATGAAAGGAATCCAATTCATCATCTAGGCTTTAAAAACAAAAAAATTCTATCACAGCAATGTGGAAGCTTATCATATCATTTTATAAAGATAAAACTGCTTTTCAAATATTAATACCATAACAACTGAGAAAAAATATAAAAAGTAAACATTTTTTCAAATTCAAAAAGTAAACATGTAAAAAGTAACAGTTATTGATCCTAATAGCTCACTGCAACCACCTTTGGACTTTCTCTACATATTAAATAGGCTTAATTTAAAAGTACCTGTAGAATGCTCTACAGCTGCCAAACTTTCTTTTGATCCCAATAATTTGGTGAGGAAGATATAACAGGTATTATTATCTATAATTTTAGCTTAAAAAATGATTGTTCGACATTAGGAAACTGAACCCTAAAGAAGTCAAGTAACTGACAGTTGACATAATTAGTAAAAAGTGGAGCAGAACTAGAATCCCAGGTATTTTCTCTAAAAAGATTATCTTGGAATTGAAATTTCTAGAGCACTGGTGTTCAAAAGGAATATCATGCAAGTAAGATAGGTAATTTAAAATTTTCTAGTAGCACATTAAAAAGAAGGGAAATTTTAATGATATATTTTATTAACCTAGCATACCTAAAAGATTATCATTTCAACATATAATCAATATAAAAAATTAAGATATTTTACATTCTCTTATCCATGCTAAGTCTTCGAAATCCAGTGTGTATTTTACACTTACAGTATATCCCAATTCCGACCAGCCCCTTTTCAAATACTCAACAGCTACGTGTGACCTGTAGCTACTGTGCTGGAACTAGAGCATAGTTCTAGATTAGATCATAACTAGGAATTGTGAAAAAACTGTCCAGTGTTATGAAAACTTTCATAGTCCAAAATCTTCAAATTATAGAGTTATTCTCAGATTATTTACAAAAACAAAAGATAAAACTATCAAATGTAAGAAAATAATTTCCATGAATTCATAATTTATTACCTTTAAGTAATTTTCACTTTCTGTACTCTACATTCAATCTAGCTCATGTCCAATTCTTAAAGCTAGATCAACTAGATTATTTTGTGAGTGCCAAATGAAACAGTAATAACAATAACAGCTAGCATTTGAGTGCTTTATTATGTACACAGCGCCATTCAAAGTATTTTACATGGATTAACTCATTTATGTAGAGAAAGAGACTAATTGTATTAACAAATTCAAGCTCCCAAATATCAATCACCTAAATAACATAGATATTTTTAGGCACAGTTGTCTTTTTTCTCTCCATAATTATCTCAACATTTCATTTTATATATGTAGACGTCTTCATGGTTTTACAATATTTCAAAATGTTTACTCCTTCTCAATATCCCATGGCATTTCCTTCTGCCATATATTTTTTACATTAAATAATATTCACTTTAAAACTGTATTTTACCTTAGCTTCCAATGTTTGTATACTGTCCACAGTAAATATTATCTCCCCTAAGAATTGCAACTTCTTTTAGTTCAGCACTGTATCATATGTATTTTGTAGTTAGTTTCCCCAGACTGTCTTCTTCAATTTCTTTCTCAACTACCTAAAATACAGTGCTTGTCACACTACCAGACACGCACTAGATACCAAGTTAAATGGTGCTGCCTAACAAGACTGTATTGTGTGTGTGTGTGTGTGTGTGTGTGTGTGTATGTGTGTGTGTGTGTGTGTGTTTTAGAGACAGAGTCTGGAGGGCAGACTGGAGGGCGGTGGTGATCATACCTCACTGGAGTCTCAAACTCCTAGGCTGAAGCAATCCTCTTGCCTAAGACCTTCAAGTAGATGGGACTATAGGCATGTAATACCATACCAAGGTGATTTTTTTTTTAATTTTTATGTAGAGATGGGGGTTCTCACTATGTTACACCAGGCTGGCCTCAAGCAATCCTCCCACCTCAGCCTTCCAAAGTGGTGGGATTATAGGTGTGAGCCACTGTGCTCAGCCTACAGTTTTTTTCTTAGTTTCCTTTTTTTTTAAAAAGAGAAAGAAAAGAAGCAGAGTCTTCAGTTGAGTCCCGAATAACCATAAAAGTAATTTTTCATCTTTTATATTATGTAAATAGTTTAACTTTCCATTATGCCACTACACATAATACTATGTTTGTACTTTTATCACAGAGATTCTTAGTAAAAATTAATAAATGAGTCTCAACTGTTTAGCAGGCTCCAGATTGCTCATACTTCCACTCAGGCAAAAGTAAACACATATACAATCTGCACTGTTCCCTTTCTCAATTTTTGAGACCCTGAAGGGATAGCTATAGTAAGGATTCAAGTTACTTTACCAATTCATATTTAAGTGCTTGAATGAACTGCCAAAAGGTGTTGTACAACGCTTGCTTTCAGCAGAATAACATCTTAATGATGAAACAGCTTTATCTCCGGATGAATAGATATCCAAATCTTCTGTCAACAAAAAAGAAAACACCAGCGATTATATGCTGAGATCAGACTCGAACTATTTCATTCGAGGCTCCTAGAGGTAAGATAGTAAATGTACTGAATGTGTTCTTATCAGTATGTCTCCCTAACGCAAACTTACAGGAAAAAACCACTGACTCCTATATTTATTTAGCACTTTACTGATTACAAAATGCTTTTCCATTCATTACTTTATTTGGTCCTAGCAATAACCCCGTGAAATAAGCAGAATAGGTGCCTTTAATCCTATTCTACAGGTTAGGAACCTAAAAGTCAGAAAAACTTACATTAATTTTTCCAAGTAACACAGCTAGCTAATGTGTAACTTGCAAATTCAGAACCTACACTGAAATTCAGAATCCAGCTTTCTTTCCACCTAAACATGACTGATACCTCTTTGATCCTCAAATATTTAATAAACTGTTAGCCTATATCTAAACTCAGTAAACAAAAAGGAGAACTTCTGTGATAATAAATTAGAACTACTTTTAAATGTATGAGCCCTTCTCTGACAGTCATTTTTACCCTCTTAGAAATTCAATGAGATATAATTTTCAGTTATATTTTGGGAGAATGCAAATTTTAGGGCAAATTTCAATCTAAAATACAATTTTAAGGTTGTTTAAAACAATGGACTCAGTAATATCTGGAATTTTTTTTCATTCTCAAGGAGTATTTCAGAAGAGTGTTTTTCAAATCAAGTCACTTTAATAGATTCACTCATCCAATTAGCTGGTGTAATCCACCAAAACAAACATCAATAAATGATTTATATTTCACAAAAATTCAAAATCAAATAGGTTAGGGGAAAAAATGCCAAATTAATCATCTGATGAACGTTTAAAGACACTACTATTTCTGCTGCAATTCTCTGAAACATTAATGATTATACTTATGAGTAAAGACATCACCTAAGAAGCATTAACAAATTAACAGATTAATATACATTATAACAGGTTAATACCCATTATTAATAAAATAGATATACATGCTAGCTACAGATTATCACATGACATTACAACCTACCCAATTCCACAGTATATTTTTTTCTAATGTAATAATTACTACCCTAATAACTTAGGAAAGTCTGTACCTAAGAATAGAATAGTTTTCTTTACCCAATATAGTTTAATGTTTAATATTTTCAAGGCTGGAATACTGTAATTTAAAAATACTCAAATAATTTATTCAATTTGATTTTTCAAAGACATCTTACACATTTATCCCCCAAATCATCATTATTATTAGCTCATTAGCAGAGTAAAAAAAGCTTAGTATCACAAGATATCTGGTACTGACCATAAGTCTAAACAATACTTTTTGAAAAATCTTCTCTTTCAAACTAAATTTGATAAAACTCACATATATACAAATAAATACTCTACTAGCTTACCTGGGGAGGTCGGAGATCTTCTTTTACATTTAGCCTGATCAAAATTTGAAAAATCATACTAAAAAAAAAAGAATGACACATTTAATTTGTGTACTCAGAATCAATTTACTGTCTCAAAATATTTCCCTACAAATTATATATTAGTTACAAATGCAAAATTACAAAGATTATAGTGGAGAAACATGGTAGACACCACCTTAACCAAGTGATAAAGGTTAAATCATGAATAATGGGACAAACCAACATCACGTACCACTTGATTCGTCAGGGCAGGCCACACACCACTCATCTCCCATTCCTGCCAAAAATGCAAAACCAGAATCAAGAGGTATCCATCAGGCAAACCCAAAGTGATGGACATTCTAATAATTGTTTTACGCTTTTCAAAAATACCAATGTTATGAAAAATGAGGCAATGTTCCAGATTGAAGGCAACAAGAGACAACCAAGTGCAATGCTCACTCTTGGATTAGATCTGCACCAGGAAAACTTTTACTACACAGTACATTGTTGAGATAATTGGCAAAATTTAAACATGAATTATAGATTAACCAATATTATTGTTATCAGTGTCTAATTTCCTGGAAATACTACTGTAGTTATGAAAAAGAATGTCCTTTATTTTCAGGAAAAACACACTGAAGTATTTATATTTAGGGGTAAAGGGGCATGAAGCCTGCAAATTGCCCTCAAATAGTTCAGGGGGACAATGTGTATGGAGAAGGAAAGAGAGCAGGAGTAAGAATGATAAAGCAAATGCGGCAAAATGACTAGTGAATTCTAGCAAGGTGTAAAGGGTACAAGGAGTTCTTCCTACTCCTCTTGCAATTTCATTTTAAGTTTGAAATTATTTTAAAATAAGACGTTTTGAAAAAGGAATCTAGGCCGGGCGCTGTGGCTCACGCCTGTAATCCTAGCTCTTGGGAGGCCGAGGCGGGCGGATTGCTCAAGGTCAGGAGTTCAAAACCAGCCTGAGCAAGAGCGAGACCCCGTCTCTACTATAAAATAGAAAGAAATTAATTGGCCAACTGATATATATAAAAAAAAAATTAGCCGGGCATGGTGGCGCATGCCTGTAGTCCCAGCTACTCGGGAGGCTGAGGCAGGAGGATCGCTTGAGCCCAGGAGTTTGAGGTTGCTGTGAGCTAGGCTGACGCCACGGCACTCACTCTAGCCTGGATAACAAAGTGAGACTCTGTCTCAAAAAAAAAAAAAAAAAAAAAAAGGAATCTAATGGTCTGTGCTGAACTCTACTCACATCACTAAGTAAAATTTCAACAACTACGACAATGCCATAACCATGCTTTGCATAATGCGAACCTTCAAAGGTTTACGGAGCTCTCCTATGCAGGTGACAGACACCTGTGAGAGTCTGCACACCAGAGGCCACGCGACCCCCGGCCCCTAGTTAACCTGCCCCAGGCTGCCCCTCCCGTGCAGGCCGGGCGCACAGCCGCCCTCGGGCAAGTGGAGGATGGAGAGTGGCTCTGTCCTCTGAGGCCTGGCTGCGCGGAGCGGTGAGCCAAAGGGCGGCGACCTCGCGACCTCACCTCGCCGGGGCAGCTGTCCCTGAGTCCGTAGCGCGTTTTGAGACGCTCCACTACTAAATCCTGTCCCGGCGGCTTGACGACCCTCCGGTCCATGGTGCGCTTTGACCGCGGCGGTCTCCCCGGGAACCGCGTTCAAAACTACGGCGCGCTAGCGACGTGGTCGAGGATTGCGTGAATGCGTGCGTCATGACGTATACGGCCCCGCCCCTCGGGGTACACGCGAGGGTGGGCGCCGCTAGGCTTCCCTGAGGGCTCTCGTGGTCTCAGTCCTCTCGCGTTTCAGGTTTAGGGCTGAGGAGGGACACTGTAACTCCCGGAGCAAGTGCCGCCAAGGCCGGGCGGCCAGCGAGCAGCTCCCCGCAGCCTCCGTAGGGCGGTCATGGCCGGCGCCCCTGCCCGAGTGCGAGCGGAGAGCACAGAGGCTTTAAACCTGCCAGCAGCGCCCCGCTGCCGCTCCCATAGAAAGGGTTCAAACTACAGGTTGGGTGTGTCTGCACTTGCCAAAATACACCTGTCTTTTCACTAAAGGTAGCCTTTCTTAATTGTCATATAAAAGAAAAACATGAGGAATAGGAATGCTAGGCATAGAAATTGCAAAGAGGGTTACCTCCTTACTTTCCCCTCCTCTGTTCCATATGTGGTTAACAAGGTATTAAAAAGAATAACTAGAATGTAAGCTCCCTGAAAAAAAACTAGTTTTTTTTAAACAAGTTTTCCCAGTACCTACAACAGCGCTTAGCACTTAATAGGTGCTCAATATTTATTGCCATGGTGTATCAACATAAAAAGCTATGTTCAACAGAGACTGAGGGAACAATTCTACAACCACTTAAGTTCTCTTACTAATACAATTATACTGGTATAACCCTTTATTTTTCTAAATTGTGATTGTCAACTGCATGTCTGAACTAACAACTCATGAATTCTATGGATTATTTTTAAAATTCCCCAAATGCCCAAATTTTGTAAGATCAATAATTTAACGAATTAGTTTTGAAAATTTAAAATGTTTTGCCATAAAGTACCACTTAAAATGTACAAATAAGGAATTACTTTATTCTATCTTTAAGCAGATTTTAATGAGACAATATAAAATCCAGCCACTTAAAAAAAAAATACACATTGTGGGTTTGATACCACATCAGTGATTAAGTAACAAAGAGAAATAGCAAAGTCCTTTCCTGAAATGTGACACAAAGACTTTCTTACAAATGTCACAAGCCACGTTTAAGCATCTTTGGAATACTAATTACTAGAAAAGTCAGTTTACATGTTATCTCATCAAATTTTTGGTCAAAGTTTAAGCTTTTTATTTCATAACTGTAATGCTTTAGGATAGCATAGAAATCTATAAAAATCCTCTTAAAAATCATTTGTATTTAGTTAAGAATTTATTTTAAAATCATGACAAAGTCATCAATTGTCTCAGCTGAAAAGGAATAACACACTTTACATAGGTCTCCAAAGAAGCCAATTGGAAATATTAAATGTGCTTATATGTAGTCCATCAGTTCTCTTCAAGGTTCCACTGATACACTGGGGATGGGTTTATTTCAGGTATGAGGCTTTGTTGCCAAGTGGCTTTAGTGATGGTATTCCATCACTCATTATTTACACATGACTTCCCTCCCCTTCATGTGACTGATGGTTGAACAGGTATTTACTATAGGATACTCTATTTCCAAATCCCCATATAATAGGGAATAAACCTCACTCTTTTCTCACTAAACAAAATTAAGTAATTTCACTAAGAACACAGGAGGGTGGAAGACAGTCAATATTCATGATTGGAACATACAAAATTTTGAGCTCTAACTGGATTCTTTGTAGTTCTATATTGAGTAGGCCAATTAAGAACATCCTATTTTTTCCCAGCAGTTTACCTAAGATTTGACACAAACTATTTCTAAATTCATTTTCAATGCATATCAAACTTAAGAGTTACTTCCTTAAGAGCTCTGAAAATTGCATGGCAGTTTGAGTTTACTGACTTTGTCTCCTTACTTTACATCTTATATTAGAATGAACAGACAACTAAATGCACAAGTAATGAATTTTTTAAATGTCATGGCTCTTATGAATTGTCACTTTATTTCTGCTACAAAATTTACCAGAAAAAGGTACTGCAACATTCTAGTATAAAGCAAATCTTTAACCAAAGACCATGTATATAGACCTTCTAAAAATATTCATACTTTATCACAATAATTGCAAGGAAAAATTCAGTATCTATCATCAGAACCAAGCTGCAGTTTCTGAGGTAGTAAAGACAGATGACAGAAAGCTTAAAAAAAGAAAAAAAAATACAGCTAAGGAAATAGTGAACTTGTTTAAAATGTAAAAATTAATTCAATACCTTTGGAAAGGGCACAGGATGCTACATATTTTAAGAAAGGAAGGTACTCTACTTAAAAGTTAACTTGTAACTACACAGGAGGTGTAATAAAGATTATAGAAGAGCACTTTGGTTAACTCTCTACCTTCTGTGACTCTACCCATTCAAACATGAGTCTGTATAAACAAGTACACCAACAGTTAAGATTACCAAATATACTTCAAATCTAAAATAAAATTATCAAGCTGTGGTCCCTTTATTTAAATGGTAAGTATATTCATGCAGGAAATCCAAATATCTTAAAAGGAATTAAAACTTAATTGCATATATCATATTCCTTCAATAATTTAAGAAGGTCTATTGCTTTTAACAAGATTAATATTATTCCATTTTAATACAGATATGTCAGGAGTACATATAAACACAAGTACACCTGAAATACACCAGTGTTTAAACTTTTATTTCACACCATGCAAGGTCAATTATAACACATTAAAAAGTGACAACAGCTATAAGCTGCAATTTTACATTTATACAGCAGAAACGTCCATTTTTAAAAGCTGAACATAATTACCATATTTTGTCTGTAACAGCTAAGCTTCAATTCAACTGCTTATACAGAAAAAATTTACAATGAAAAACAATGATTTTATATCTGTCCACATTCTGTGATACTTATTCTTCGACTAACAGACCCTTTAGGAGAACCAAATGATTCAATCTTTTTCACAGTATCCATGCCGTCCTTAACAAACCCAAACACTACATGCTTAAAGTCCAAATGTTCTGCTTTTTTCAGTGTTATAAAAAACTGAGAATTATTGGTATCCCGGCCTCGATTGGCCATGGATAGTAACCCAGGACCAGTATGTTTCACATCAAAATTTTCATCTTCAAATTTGTCTCCATAAATGGACTGTCCTCCTGTTCCATCATGTTTGGTGATATCTCCCCCCTGAAAAAAGATTAAAATTAATAGGAATCCTGAATAAAACATTTAAAATATACACAGAACTCATCACTACAGGATAAATCCTAAATACCCAGCTTCCTTAAGAATGCAGTCTGAAAACTAAGTATTTTTGGAAAGAATATAAAAAATGAAAAGATCGTTCTTTCCCCCTCAGTTTCTATTAGGTTTCAAGTAGTAAAACTTTGAACTATTTTAGGTTGAAAGTTTTCAGCAGGGGTAGATAATGCAGTGACACCAACTAATGTGTGGAAAAGCTAAAGAAATCTTAAGAGAACTATAGGACAAGGACAAGGGAAAACACTCAAATTTCCCAAGTTAGTTTAGTATACTCTTTAGACTCCCACTGTGATACGTAGTTAATACTTACTTGGCAAACAAAATCTGGAATTACTCTGTGAAAAATAGAGTTCTTGAAACCAAAGCCCTTTTCCCCAGTGCACAGTGCTCTGAAGTTCTCAGCAGTTTGAGGAACAATGTTTGAAAATAATTCCATGGTTATGCGTCCTAGAGGTTCACCATCTGCACAAACGTCAAAAAACACCAAAGGATTGGTCTCGTTTGACAATTCTGCTGCCAGTGACACATGTCCTTTCTGGAGTTTCAATAAATTCTGCTGACATTCTTCAAATTTTTTCTTAAAACAATCAGCCATTTCTTTAGTTTTAAATCTCACTGCAAGCTGTTCCACTTTTGCTTCACCATCTATTGAGGAAAAAAAAAAAGTGACATTCATATTAACTGTTAAAAATTGTTTTATGTGTTTGTTATGGATTTTAGTAAAGTCCACATATGGAAAGTAGCATCTGAATGTAGAAACTCACCAGCATAATCTGAGGCAGTCCAAACTAAAGCATTATTGGAAACATTTAAGGGCTTTAATTCCATTGTTTTGGTAATAACATGGTTTGCACACACTTTAAAGACCTGGTCTCTTCTCATTAGTATCCGATAGTAATTCTTCATTGTATGCCAAAGAATCTTTATATCTCCAACACCACGCTCTTTCCATTGACTGACATCACGATCCCATCTATAAAGTTTGGCTCTCTCTTTAAACAAAATTTCTTCATCTTCTTCTCCAGATTTTACTTCTACCTATAATAGATGAAATTATATGTAAAAGTGCTACTTATAATAAGTTCTATAATAAATTCCAAACATCAAAATTCTTTAAGATATTTTCTTTGTGATAACTTTAACAGAATTTGTGGTGTTGTGATAATTGGTTATATCCTAAAACTAGGAATACATCTAATTTTGTTGTAGAAGTGAAGAACTGTTTTGTCATTGAAAATTTTTCTTTTATATAGTATTCACTTTCCTTTTGGAAATTAAATGCCTACCTTTACGGCTATGGCCCTCAACCCCCAAGTAGTATCACCACCTGAGCTCCCCACTACTACCCCCCTACCATGACACCCCCCCCACCCTTGGTCCCTGGTGCCAAAAAGGTTAGGGACTGCTGCTTTCTAGACAGAAGAGGTTTCAGAAAGTGTTTATTATAATGTTATAAAAACAAACACGATATTCTAACAACATATGAAAAAAGTATTTATTTCTTACCAACAATTACATATAGAATTTACCAAGTAACATTTATATGAAAACTTCTAAAAGACAATTTATACTTAAAGGCTGGTTTGTCTAATAAACAAAACTTCCATTTCAAATTGTAAATATTTTGAAATAAATGCAAACAATATACCTACTACGATCAAGCCAGAGTGAGTTTTAAACTTTAACTGAAAAATAAGTTATTAGGAAAACTTTGATTCCTTAATACTTACCTCTGGTAATGACACTATGGGTTCAAAATGGATATCTTCATTATGAACTACTTCTTCATCACTACCATCTTCATCTTCACCAACTTTACTGGTTGACTGTGTTCCGAACACAGTCGCTCCGGTATTTGCCCACTGGAAATTTTTATCTGGTGAATAAATTAGGATATTTGAACAGTGGTAGCTATTTTTTACAAGTTTTTTTACCCTATTCTTAGGTTACTTTATCAATGCATCTAAATTCCAATGATGTTCTCTCTCTTTTTTCTCTCTCTCTCTGTCTCTCTGTCTCTCTCTCTCTCTCTATATATATATATATATCACTATTAAAAATGTCATCCTGGCAAGTTCAACTCATGTAGTGAACACAAAGTACATTTAGGACTGCTTATGCTCAGTTACAAAGGTAACACTGTCTCTGCCTTGGGTAACCTTCTTAACACTAAATTACACAAGAACTTCCAGTAATGAAGTAGGTTCTTTAAAGTACATACTTGAAATTTTGAAAAAATGTAGCTCAGCTTTTGGAGGTAGTCTATGTCATAAAACCTTTTATCACATGCAAAAAGTAACTTTTGAACATAAAAATGTCCCTAAATAGGCCAAATCTGCTACTTTCAAACTAGCCACCTTAGCCTAAACACATGTTTATAACTTCTGTACTTCAACTTCTTCTTTATGAAGCTAGTGTTTGGAACTTAGATTTCTTGGCCAGGCTGGTGGATAAGTAGCCTTGGGAGAAGCCCTCTGAGTTCAACTGCCCTCAGGAGATACACTACAGAGTTAAGACTTCCCACTTCTATGCAGAACAATGATGATCGCTCTCCCTCATACCTGAAAGAACCAGAGAATAGAACCTTCTCCATTTCCCACCTTAATTCAGATGGCCCATCCTAACATATTCTCCCACAATCTTAAAGGAAAAAAATACCTCTTTTAATTTTTCATCACTTACAGAACCCTAATACCTGCTGCTAAAGACTCTTAAGAAGGAAAAAAATGTCACAGAGCACATAAAAGGTAACAGCACCTTGAAGAAAGAATATGTGAATTAAAAAATCCACTCCTCTTAATAAAGGCAGATTTAATAGAGGGGGAAAATTAAAGACAAAAATTTCTAAGGACATACAAGAAAATATTGCAAAGAAATAATGTGAGAACAAGAAAAACACAACCTCAGGTCATATGGGGGCTTTCTGAAAATAGTAATCACTGATAAGCATAATATAAGAAATTTGGGACTCAAAATTCACTATCCAGGAACTCCCAAGCAAAACTTTAACTAAAAAAATAACCTCAGGGGATATGTGGCAGAAAAAATTTAAAATTCTTCTAAAACAGTTCTCTGCCTTTGTTGCACATTAACTATTAGGTTGGTGCAAAAGTAACTGCAGTTTTAGCATTGTTGAAATTTGTCATTTGATGTTGGAACACATTTTTAAATAAATGTGGTTATGTTATATATCATTTTAACACACATTACTTGCTTTATTTTTTTTGCTAATAACTACTTGCTGTTTATTTTATATATATATACATATATATATATATTTTTCCCCCCTGAGACAGAGTCTCGCTTTGTTGACCAGGCTAGAGTGAGTGTATATTTATTTTAGACTATGGAAATGATGTTAGACGAAAAGCAAATTTGAGCAATTTTCTTATTCCAATTAAAATTGGGTCGTACAGCACTGGAGACAACTCATAACATCAACAATGCCTTTAGCCCAAGAACTGCTAACGAACTTATAGTGCAGTGGTGGTTCAAGAAGTTTTGCAAAGGAGACCAGAGCCTTGAAGATGAGGAACACAGTGGCCTGCCGTGGAAAGTTGACAATGACCAACTGAGAACAACTGTCAAAGCTGATCCTCTTACAACTATATGAGAAGTTGCCAAAGAACTCAACAAGGAGACCATTCTATGGTCCTTCAGCACTTGAACCAAATTGGAAAGGTGAACAGGCTCGATTAAGTGGGTGACTCGTGAGCTGACAAAAATAAAAAAAATCATTGTTTTGAAGTATTGTCTTCTCTTATTGTACACAGCAACAAACCATTTCTTGATCGGATTGTGACATGCAATGAAAAAGGGATTTTATACAACTGGCATCAACCAGCTTAGTAGTTGAACCAAGAAGCTCCAAGCACTTCCCAAAGCCAAACTTGAACCAAAAAGTCATGGTCATTGTTTGGTGGTCTGCTGCCAGTCTGATCCACTACAGCTTTCTGAATCTCGGCAAAACCATTATGCTGAGAGGTATTCTCAGCAAATTGATGAGATGCACAAAAAACTGCAACACCTGGAGCTGGCATCAGTCAACAGAAAGGGCCTGATTCTTCTCCACAACAACACCTGACCGTATGTCGCACAACCAAAGCTTCAAAAGTTGAACAAATTGGGATATGAAGTTTTGCCTCATCTGACATATTCACCTGACCTTTCACCAGCCATCTATCACTTTTTCAAACATCTCGACAACTTTTTGCAGAGAAATACTTCCACAACCAGCAGTATGCAGAAAATGCTATCCAAGAGTTTGTAGAATCCTAAAGAACTGATTTTTACGCTACAGGAATAAACAAACTTATTTTTCACTGGCAAAAATGTACTGATTGTAATTGTTCCTATTTTGACTAATAAAGATGTGTTAGAGCCTAGTTACAATGATTTAAAATTCAGTCTGAAACCACAATTACCTTTGCACCAACCTAATATCAATGTCTGGGTCTCATGTTTAGAGATGCCAATATAACTATTAGGTAGGTCTCTTTAAAAAAGCTCCTAGGTAATTTTAATAGGAAGCCATGGCTGGAAACCATATCCCTAAGCAGAGTAGAAGGTAAAATTTACAAAGTAAAAGTATAAAAAGTATGCATGTGAATAATCAGTATCAATTTCAAGATAACAATTCTAGGTAAGAGTACCTAGGAGCTTCCCTGCGTGTATTTTCAGTGAAAACATTAAAAAGTGAAGCATGAACGTGATAAAATGGCAATCTGTGTCTAAGCTGGGCAGTAACTTAGTTTCTATAACACACATAGATCAATAGATCTGTGTAAATACAACTTTCAGGAAAAAAAAATCAGTATAAAAAACAAAGGAAAAGGAAAAAGAAAACAAGGAAATCTATCATGAGTTTTCTCCCTGCTGTTTTCTCTCCCTGACAGGCACCCTGCAGTGACTGTTTTCACAAACATCTGAAAAGAGCTAAAAGACAGAAAGGAAACATACATCTTTCTCTTTACATTCACCAGCTCACTGCCCTTTAGAATCTATTTCTATATAGACTGAGGAGCTCCTGGCAGTGGGGACAAACTACAGGCTTCAGATCCTGCCCAAAATCTTAAAGGCAAGATCGATCGCCAATAAGATCTCTGACTGCCACTTCTACATACCTCTAAGAAAAGGAATGGATACAGCCCTTTCACACAGCCTTGCTTCTGTTATCTGATTATGGCTAAGAAGAAGAGAAAGAGCAGATATGACAGTTCACAGCACCCTGTTAATTTGGCTACAGCCATAAATTGTGTTCACCTCCTTTATACAATTCCTAAATAAAAAGCCTGAATACCTGATTCTCTCTGTCAACATACTCTTCTTCTTTCACCATGTTGGCCCTTTCCTGCTTGGGAACATAAAATATATTTCTTCTTTCTATCCTAATATTTGAAGAAATTTTTCTCAAACCTGTGTGCACCAGCAGCACTCCCACCCTAACATTACCAAAGTATTAAGATTCCACATGAAAACCTATGGGACACAAACAAAATTGATTGCAGAGAATTTATAATTTTAAATACTAAACGCACTCGACACACAAGAAATCTAACAAAAATAACAAAATGTAAAGCTAAATAAAATGTACAAAAATGAGAATTGATAAAATCAAAAGCTGCTTCTTTGAAAAAACAAGTATACAAATTACTGCCAAACACAAGAAAAAAACAACGTAATAAGTGTAGTTTTACTCTTTTTTAATGAATAATCTCATTAAGAATGATAATTAGTGGTAAGGAATGCCAGTGGGTAAGGCATAAGGTGTCGCTCCCTTCTGATAATTTGAGTCTTGCCTACTTCATAATTTAGAGTACAATATTGATACAGTACTTTGAAAAGGTTACACTGAGTGTCAATCAGCCTATCAAACAATTTTTATTTGGCATTTTTTGGCGAATAATTGTACCCACTGCATTGCTGAGTTTGCCAACATATTACCCTTGGATTTCAGGTTATTTAATAAATTAAAACAAAAATTAAAAAACTTGCTATCAGTGAAGCCATGAATTCCCACATAACATCATATCTGAAAGTAATTTCTAAACATTTTATGTGTTCCTGTAAGTGGCGAGAGCTTGCAAAATAGTGTAAATATTTAAGTGGGAAGGACGGTATTCTAAACTGCATTAATCATTTAAGCATACATACATCTTCAATAAAATTTATGCCACAAATCAAACATCATGTACAAGAACAATTTAGGTGGTACATAACTACAGATATGAAACACATTACAAGAATAAGAAAATAGGCCGGGCGCGGTGGGTCATGCCTATAATCCTAGCACTCTGGGAGGCCGAAGCAGGTGGATCACTCAAGGTTGGGAGTTCGAAACCAGCCTGAGCAAGAGCAAGACCCCGTCTCTACTAAAAATAGAAAGAAATTAGCCGGACAACTAAAAATATATAGAAAAAAATTAGCTGGGCATGGTGGTGCATGCCTGTAGTCCCAGCTACTTGGGAAGCTGAGGCAGGAGGATCGCCTGAGTCCCAGGAGTTTGAGGTTGCTATGAGCTAGGCTGACGCCACGGCACTCTAGCCCAGGCAACAGAGTGAGACTCTGTCTCAAAAAAAAAAAAACAAAAAATGAATAAGGAAATATAATGAATGGCCTTATGCTAAAACTTGAAATAATCAAGGAAATGGATTACATTCTAGAAATGCTATCAAAATGGATTAAAAATAGAAACAACATTGAAAAAGACAGGAAAACAACTTAGCACAATAATTAGCACAACCCAATACTGAAATTCAAAGAACATGCAAAACCTAAAAGTTTGTACAAATCATCTTCTTAAAAAAATGTAAATTCACAAATCCTGAAATATCCACAAATCAAATCTAAAAGTACAGTCAAAAGAACAATGTTAATAAAGTCAGGGTTATTCCAAAACTGAAAAATGGCTCTACATTTCAGGATGGGGAGGACTATCAGCATGACTTACGCTAAATTAAGAAAAAATTTTTATGATATTAGTAAATGTCAAAAATAGAGAACAGAAACCCTTCCTTATTAAAACGTTCAACTGGGGGATGGTGTGAGGGAAGAATCTCCCAACTTAGTTGCAACACTGTAACAAAGGACTGTTTTTTTTCACTTGTGCTTTATTCTGTAATATGATCATTAAATCACTCCTGATCTTACCTTTTGAACCAAAAGCAAAATCCCCAGAATTACTGGAAGCCAAGTCTGCAAATGACAGCCCTGTGCTACTTCCAAATCCAAATGAAACTGTTTTGCTTTCCACTGGCAAAAGGAAAAGAACAATTTAACATTTCATTTAATGTATATTAAACATCAAAGCTCTACTCAGGTCTCAGAAAGAATAGTAGGACCTTCTATACTACAGGATGGTGGGGAGGGGGTTAGCATTTGTATTATGGTAAGTTACAAAATACATCCAATTGTGAGCTTTATCAACATTATTAATTTTACAGGTACTATTCCCAAAGGATACTACTATACTACACCAAAAGCATGCCAACAATTATTTTTTATAAATGAGATCTACATCTATCTACATTAAGCCAGATATAGAATCATACTGTTTCTGCTTTAAAGAGTCTTCTATACTCTAAAACAAGCATTAAGCCAAAGGCAGAGTTTTAGGAAACATCTGTATAAAAATTTTGTGTTCTGTATTATATAAGTAAGCTCATAAAAAACAAATATCCCATTTACACTTGGTCATCAGGACTTTTGTGATCTTATCTTAATTCTGCCAACATTTAACTGCATGATCTCTGAAAGCCCTGTGCCTTACTTTCCTCATCTGAAAAACGTACAGGGTTTTAGGTGTGACGTTACCTTCCATTTCTAGCATAGTAAGATTCTGAAGTGTCTACATAAATGTAATATTTATAATGTTAAGACTACTTTAAAAAATTAGGTAATGTAGACAATGTACACATAAAGAGCAATACAGACACTTTGCACTCACTCCCCAAAAAATTGAAATGGAAAAACAAAGGAGAAAGCAATATCACATATTAGTTATTGTAACTGAATACTTAATTTAGCAAGCTTTCAGGCTGGTAGAGAAAAAGACATTTTAAGTTCTACTAACAAATTTTATACCCCTATTGTAATATTTCTATAACTACCTCACATATAATTAAAACATTTTAAATATGCCCAAACTAAAAATATAATTCAAACAGTATTGAAATGAAAACACTATCACAAAGTAAATTACCATGTAAGTAAACTACCATATTGTCTTTCATGCTCAGGCAGATAGGTCAGAGTCACAATGTTTTGTATTCCCTAATAATCACGACTCTAACGATAAAAAACACATTTATTATCTTTGTTTGGCTAGGCAGTATGATTTTTTCTGATTATTATTACTAATACCTTATAGCCCTTTAGACATCTCAGAATTTGTTTTAAAGGGAGTTTTTAGGATCTACCATTAAAAATCTATCTTCAAAAATATAAAGTGTTCCTTATGTAATGCACGATACAAATGTATATCAAGTTTTACCTTGGCTTGTAGAATCTGCATCAATTTCCTTTCTAGTAGACAAATCTACAGGCTTCTCTGCAGTTCCAGAGGAAATAGGTGGTAAACTAAGAGATTTAGTAATAGAATCGGGTTCTTCAGATTTACAGAAAAGAGGTACTGTCATTTCAGTCCGACCTGTACACACACTGTTGGCTGTGCTAGTTATATCTTCACTCTGAGATTTCTGCAAAGAGGAAGTAACAAAACACCATGCCATTAAATACTGATTTACAAAAACAATCATATAACCTATTTTTTAAAAAACTGAGAACTTTGACTTCTGGACAAGATGGAATAAACACACTTTACCTATCTCTCTCCCAAAAGCTACAACTAGATGCCTGGACTGAAAAAAACATATAGAACAACTGTAAGAAGCTGAGGGGCCCAGCATGGTGGCTCATGCCTGTAATCCTAGCACTTTGAGGGGCCAAGGCAAGAGGACTGCTTGAGGCCAGGAGTTTGAGACAAGCCTAAGCAAGAGTGAGACAGACCCCTCTCTACAAAAAAAAGAAAAAACAAAACAAAACAAAAATTTAGCGAGGCATGGTGGCACTCGCCTTGTAGTCCCAGCTACTTGGGAGGCTAAGCCAGGAGGATCACCTGAGCCCAAGACTTTGAGGTTGCCGTGAGCTAGGTTGATGCCATGGCATTCTAGCCCAGACAACGGAGTGAGACTGTGTTCTTAAAAAAACAAAAAAAGTTTTGTTTTTTTAAGAATTGTGGATAAAAGGAGGAGGAATAAAAATTTCAGGATCAGAGGGATAATTTGCTGGTGAGATCCTCATGGGTTTTATTCTGCCTTCCCTACATCCCAGCCTGGGCGTTAGAACAGCCAAAAAAGATGGAGCTGCCAAAGGCACAAATGTAAAAAGTTTCAAGAAAAGTCAGCTCTGTTTGGCCAGCAAAGGGAGTAGTTATGATCATCCATGTATTAGAACTATCCAAAAAAGACTTCTTAAAGTCATTATTAACAATGTTTCAAAAAGTATATGATAAATACTCTTAAAACAAATGAAATGATAGAAGGTCTAAGCAAAAAAATAGAAGGCATAAAAAAGAAAAACCTAAATGGGAGTTTTACAAATGAAAAATATGGTAACAGTGAAATTTCACAGACTACTTCATCTAACAACAGTAGAATACACATTCTTCACAAGCTCATATGGAACATTTACCAAGGACCACATTCTAGGCCATAAAACGTACCTCCACAAATTTAAAGGAATGGAATTCAAACAAAGTATACTCTCAGACCACAATAAAATTAAACTTGCAATCATTAATAGAAATGTTGGAGGGAAAAAAATCCCCAAATATTTGCAGATTAAACAACACTTCAAAGAAATACATGTCAAAAAAGAAGTTTCAAGAGAAATTAAAAATATTCTGAACTAAATAAAAATGAAAAAATACAACCTATCAAAATTTGTGAGATGCAATAAAAGCAAGAATGGGGGACATTCACAACACTACATGCAATAATTAAAATGAAGATCTCAAATTAATATTCTGGCTGGGTGTGGTGGCTCACACCTATAATCCCAGCACTTCAGGAGGCCAAGGACTGCTTGAGGTCAGGAGTTAAAGACCAGCCTAGTCAACATAGCCAGACCCCATCTCTACAGAAAAAAATAAAATTAGCAAGGCATGATGGTGTGCACCTATAGCCTTAGCTACTAATCTGGGAGGATCACTTGAGCCCAGGAGTTCAATATTATAGTGAGCTATAATCTCACCACTGCACTCCAGCCTAGGCAACAAGGCAAGAACCCATCTCTTACTCACCTCCCAATTTTTTTTTTTTTTCCTAAGACAGAGTCTCATTCTGTCGCCCAGGGCTAGAGTGCCATGGCATCTGGCTAGCTCACAGTAACCTCAAACTCCTGAGCTCAGGCAATCCTCCTGCCTCAGCCTCCCAAGTAGCTGGGACGACAGGAATGCGCCACCATGCCCAGCTAATTTTTTCTATATATTTTTAGCTGGCCAATTAATTTCTTTCTAGTGTTGGTAGAGACAGCGTCCCGCTTTTGCACAGGCTGGTTTCGAACTCCTGACCTTGAGCAATCTGCCCACCTCGGCCTCCCAGAGTGCTAGGATTATAGGCATGAGCCACCACGCCCGGCCCCCAATTTTTTTTTAATTACTAAGAATCTGCAGCTAATATACTTAATAGTGAGAAACTAGCTTTCTTGCTAAAATCAAGAGCAGTGCAACACTCTTGAATGTCTACTATTAACACTTTTATTCAACATCATACCATAAATTCTAACTAATAAAATAAGACAAGGAAAGGAAATAAAAGGTATAAAGATAAAGAAAAAAATATAAAATTATCTTTGTTCACTGAAAACATGACTGGCTCTGTAAAAAAAAAACTACGAAGAACAGGAAAAACACCTGAAACTAATAAGAAATTATAAAAAGGTTATAAAATACTAAGTGAATATACAAAAGTCAATTGCCTTTATAAAACAGGAAAAAAAATTGGAATTTGAAATTAAAAACACAGTACCATTTACATTAGCATCAAAAACCAAAGCATAGTTAGAAACCTAACAAAACATGGAAATATGTATACTTATGAAAACTATAAAATTCCGATAAAAGAAATCAAAGAAAACATAAATAAATGGACAGATAGTCCATGTTCAATACTGTTAAAATGGCAACTCTTCTCAATTTGACCAACAGAGTTCAACATAATTCCAATCAAAGTACCAGCAAGTTATTTTGCAGACATGGACAAACTAATTCAAAAGTTTATATAGGCCGGGTGTGGTGGCTCACGCCTGTAATCCTAGCACTCTGGGAGGCCGAGGCAGGTGGATTGCTCGAGGTCAGGAGTTTGAAACCAGCCTGAGCAAGAGCGAGACTCTGTCTCTACTATAAATAGAAAGAAATTAATTGGCCAACTAATATATATAGAAAAAATTAGCCGGGCATGGTGGCGCATGCCTGTAGTCCCAACTACTCGGGAGGCTGAGGCAGCAGGATTGCTTAAGCCCAGGAGTTTGAGGTTGCTATGAGCTAGGCTGACACCATGGCACTCACTCTAGCCTAGGCAACAAAGTGAGACTCTGTCTCAAAAAAGAAAAAAAAAAAAAGTTTATATGGAAAGATTAAAGACACAAAATGGGCAAAATAATACTAAAGAACAAAGTCAGAGGTCTGACAGTATTAAACCACAAGACTTACTATAAAGCTACCATAATTAAGACAGTGTGTTATTAGTGAAAGAATAGGTAGATAGATGATGGAACAAAACAGAGGGCCCAGAAATAGACTCATAGAAACAGAGTCAAATGATCTTTGACAATGGAGCAAAGACAATTCAACAATTTGTCTTTTTAACAAATGGTGCCGGAACAACTGGACATCCATGAACTAAAAAATAAATCCATACACAGACTTTACACCTTTCACAAAAATATTAAAATGCATTAAAGACCTAAATGTAAAATGTAAAACTACAGAACTTCTAGAATACAATAAAGGAGAAAATCTGGATGCTTTTAGGTTTAGTGATAATTTTTCAGATAAAATATCAAAAGCACAATCCATGAAACAGAAAAATTTGCTAAGTTAGATTTCATTAAAAACTGCTGCTCTGTGAAAGACACTGTTAAGATAATGAAAAGACAAGCCACTTAACCAGGGAAAAGGATCTGCAAACATTTATCTAAAGTAGCAGTCCCCAACCTTTTTGGCACCAAGGACTGGTTTCGTGGAAGACAATTTTTCCACAAACAGAGGGGATGGTTTGGGGATGATTCAAGAGCATTACATTTATCATCCAGTCAAACCTCTCTGCTAATGATAATCTGTACTTGCAGCCGCTCCCCAGCTCCATCTCATATCATCAGGCATTAGATTCTCATAAGGAGCTCGCAACCTAGATCTCTCATATGTGCAATTTACAGTAGAACTCAGTCTCCAATGAGAATCTAATGCTGCCACTGGTCTGACAGGAAGCAGTGCTCAGGCAATGATGCAAGCGATGGGGAGCAGCTGTAAATAGGGATGAAGTTTCGCTAGCTCAGCTCCTGCTGTGCAGCATGGATCCTAACAGGCCAGAGGCCAGTACCAGTACATGGCCCAGGGGTTGGGGACCATGGGAAAGGACTTGAATCCAAAATATACAAAGAACCGTGGAGGCTAAAAGATAAAGAAACATTTTTAAAGTACTGAAAGAAAACTCTCAACACTGAATATCATATCACCAAAAATAACCTTTGAGGAATGAATGAAGAAAAATACATTCTCAGACAAAGAAAAACTAAGAAAATTTGTCACCAGTAGACCTGCTTTAAAAGAAAAGCAAATGAAAGCTCTGCAGGCAAAAGGCCAAAGATAGCATAGGGAATCCTAGAATGCTTGGAATGAAAAATTACAGAAATGGTGATTATCTAAGTAAATAAACTATTGTTTACTTTTTAGGTTTCTAGTAATATATAACTGTTGAAAACAAAATGTGACTGATAGGATATTTGATGGATGTAGACATAACACATGATAGCCACCATCATAATGGAGGAATATTAAAAATCTATATAGTTCTAATACTTCTATATTTTACTCGAAAAGGAAAAGTAGTAATTCTAAAGTTTCTTTAAAGTGTGATGTGCATATTATAATCTCTAGAGCAACCACTAAAAAACTATATGAAAAAATGGTTAAAGTATAGGAAATTTTAAAAGAATTCTGAAAAACTATTTATAATTCAAAAGAAGGCAGGAAAGGGAAATCAGAGTGATGAAAAAATAGAAGGGACATACACAAACTAAAAATAAAGTAATAAATCTGAATCAAAGAATGTCACTAATTACATTAAATAAATGCAAATGGTCTGAACATCAATAAAAACAGATTATCTAATTAGATTTTAAAAACACTAAGAAAATGCTGTCTACAAAAAAAAATAGGGGTAGGTAAAAAATGAAAATATTGAACATGCATATTCCACACATATCTACACATTTGCATACAAAGAGAATTTTGAGTGTATCAATATCAGACAAAGCAGACTTCAGAAAAATTATATAACAAATGTACCACTGTGGTGCAGGAAGTTGATAAGGGAGGCCATTCCTATGTAGGGGCAGGGGATATATGAGGAATCTCCGTACTTTCCACTCAATTTTGCTGTGAACCTAGAACTGCTTCAGCCCAGGAGTTTGAGGTTACAGTGAGCTATGGTTGACGCCACTGCACTCTACACAGGCTACAGAGCAAGACTGACTCAAAAAAGCAAAAAGGAGAAAAAAAGCTAGAAAATAGTCAGCGAAACTCAAAGCAAGCATAAGGAAGGAAATAGACTAGAGCAGAAATAAATGAGACAGAGGATGGAAAATCAACAGAAAAATTAACAAAACCAAGAGATGATAAAGTACAAGAAGCAAAAATTAACAGACAAATCCACAATTTTGTTTAATAACACATCTCTCAGTAAGTAACAGAAGTAGCAGACAAAAAATTAGCAAGAATAAATCAGATCTGAACAACACAGTATCAACTAATTTGACCTGATTTAATATTTATAAAACACTACTCATGCAAAAATAGCAAACTACACATTCTTCTTAGTGCACATGAAATATTCACCAAGACAGGCTTCACTAAATTTATAAAAATTGAAATTATTCAAAAAGTTTTCATTTACCATAATAGAATTAAACTAGAAATCACTAACAGAATGATACTTGGAAAACCACCAAAATTTTGGAAATAGCATACTACTATCTAATGCATAGATCAAAAAGAATACCTCAAGGAAAACTGAATGAAAGAGAAAATACTACTTGTTACAACTTGGAGAATGCAATTAAACAGAATTGCATTAGAGGGAAACTTACAGTATTACTTATATTAGAAATGAATAATGGTCTTAAATCTGTAATTCAGGCTTCCACTTTAAGAAACTAGAAAAAAAGCAAAATAAACCCAAGGCAAGAAGGAAATAATAAAAAGTAGAAATCAATTACATTGAACATGGGAAAAATAGATAAAAACAAACAAAAACCCAATGAAGCCAAAATCTTTTCCTACTGAAAAACAGCATCAATGAAATGGATAAACCTCTAACTAGGTCAACCACAAAATTTCAGGAAGAGAAAATGGAATATTTCACTCCTGAACCCACAAACACATTAAAACCTTAATAAGGGATTACCAGGAACAACTCTACACACACAAATTTGACACCACTTCCTTAAAAGACTCAAATTATTAAAACTCAAGAATAAGGCGATTACCTGGATAATCCCAACAGTCCTCCATCTATTATAGTCCTCTATTTATTATATTGTTAAAATCTTGTTAGGTGTGGTGGCTCACACCTGTAATCCTAGCACTTTGGGAAGCAAAGGCGGGAGGATCACCTGAGGCTGGGAGTTTAAGAGCAACCAGAGTAATATAGTGAGAACCTGTCTCTACAAAAAATAGAAAAAATAGCCAGATATGGTGGTACACACCTATAGTCCCAGCTACGTGGGATGCTGAGGCAGGAGGAGCACTTGAGCCCAGGAGTTTGAGGTTATAGTGAGCTACAATGATGTCACTGCACTCTATCCTAAGCAATAAAGTGAGACCATGTCAAGAAAAGAAAGAAAGGAAAAGGAAAAGGAAAAGGGAAGGGAAGAAAAAAGAAAAGGAAGGAAGGAGAAAGAGAAGCAAAGCAAAGAAAAAAGAAAAGGGAAATAAAGGAGGGAAGGGAAGGACGGGAAGAAGGAAGAGGAGAAGGGAAAGGGGGGAAAAGGGGGAAGCAGAAGAAGGGGAGGAAGAAAGAAACTTAAGAAAATTCCAGACACAGATGGTTTCACTGTTGAAAACTACCAAACATTTAATGGAGAAACTGCACCAATTCAACATGCTCTATTCCAGAAAATAGCAGTACGGGAAATATTTCCCATTTTATTTTATGATACCAGTATTACTTTTTTTTTTTTTTTAATGAGACAAGGTCTCACACTATGTTGCCTAGGCTGCAGTGCAATGGCTATTCACAGGTGCAATCATAGCCTGCCTAACTTAAGCACCTTCCTGCCTTAGCCTCCTAAGTAGCTGGGACTACAGACATAGGTCCCCATGGCCAAGCCTAGCCAGCATTACTCTTATATGTAAGCCAAAAACAATACTAGAAAAGAAAACTACCGATCAATGTCCCTGATGAGTATAAATCCAAAAATCTGTAACAAAATTTATGCCAATTGAATCCTATCCATTTTATGCCAATTGAATCCATGCCATTTGAATCCTATCACAAATAAAAATTACAATATACATGACCAAGTGAGGTTTATCCCAGGAATGCAAAATTAGTTTTCTGAACATTTGAAAAATCAATGTCATTCACGCATTTAATAAAAAAGAACCACATAATCACATCAATAGGGTAGGGTAAAAAAAAGACAAACATCAACATTCACTTAAGGTAAAAATTTTCAACAACTTCGGGTGACAACGATATACCAGTGTAGGTTTATCAACTGTAACAAATGTATATATAATCTTATCTTCTTACAGAAATTTTATAATTAGCTTGTTTATATCCACAAAGAATCCTGGTAGGTTTTGATTGCTAATATGTTAAATCTATAGATCAATTTTGGGAAAACTGGAATTCTATTTTGAATGTTCCAATCTATTAACAGTATGCCTCTTCATTTATCTGGATCTTCCTTTACTTCATCAGTGTTTTGTAGTTTTCAGCATATAGATCCTATACCTATTGTACAGAACAAAATTCCTCCTGCCCTGGCCATAGCTGATTGGTAGATCCCTAAATCCACGAACCATTATTAGCATGTGGTAAGAAGATTCTACAGTTTACTGAATCAACAAAGGCAACAGAACCAAAAGGAAAATGACACCCTTACTTGAGCTTGCTGAACTTTTTGAAGCTCTGATTGAAAGTCTTCCCCATTTCCAGTGTCTTCATCAGTGTCACTGCAGACTCCACAGAAAAATGTAGGTGGAAGCTTTAATGTATCTGCTTTTGCCTTCTCTTCAACTGTTGGTTTCTTTTCCCAAACAATAACACAATCCTTCTCATTATCTGAAAAGTCCATACAACACAAGCAAAAGAGATGATAAAATTAGATGAAGTCCAACTATTTTACAACAATGGTCATTATCAGTGGTCCTCAATGTAATCTACAGACCCAGGTCACAAGACCTGTTAATAGTAATGAAGAATAAGAACCACCAAGAGAACCATGTTTTTCACCTAATATTAGTTTTAAGTATTTTAAATCACCATGGGCATATTATATAAGTAAAATTGGTAATTACAGAATTGATCAGACTAGGTTATTTCTTTTAAATAGAAAATCTGATAAAAGCATTATAAAAAGTCATTTAAACTTAACATACCAGCTAGATTTTCTTCCAATGGCCAACATTTTTCTGAGTCATCCAGATATAGTTTTCCATTAAGTTTCTTGACAGCTGTTTCGAAATCTTCATCTTAAAGTACAATTGAGCAAAAGAATTTCTAGTAAGTTTCAAGGGTTTCCTAGCCAAAAGCCTAGGAATTATCTCCAACCTCACTCTTTCCCTCACTGTCAACATCCAAATAGCAGCTGATTTTGCCAATTCCATATTCTTAATACCTCTCCTACTATTAGAGCTTTAGCCTGGCTTCTCTTCGTGTTTGAGCTTTATTAATAGCTCACTGTCCAATTTCCTTGTCCCACAACCCAATCTTTACCACTGCCCAACTAATTAAGCTATACTCTTAATTACTAGGATTAGCAGGAACAGTGTTTTCAAAACAACAAAAGATTTACCATCCTCCTCTTCTTCACTAACATAATCTGGTCTATTCTTATAGCAGAAGAAAGTTGAAGGAAGTTTAAGTTTGGTTGCAAGGGCTTTTTGCTCAGCAGTTGGAGTTAGTTCATACACAATGAGAACTTCATCATCTGAGGGAGGATCTTCAGGTTTTTCCTTCTCTTTTGCTATAACACAAGTCAAAAAAATTCATAAAAACAGGGTATTAAGTAATGTCAACATCAATTAACTGAAAATAAAAACCACAGGACTTAGCTATAGGTTAAAATAGCATACTGATATAAAACACACATACTCTGATGCAGACAGAGCTCTATGACACTCGTGAATTAGAATTAACACCCTGATTTAATGTAATACCAAAAACTCTTAGTGAACATAGAATCTATTTAAAATAAAACCAAAAAAAAAACCTGTGTTTCTTTATAAGTCATTGAAAAGAATTGCAAATTCCTATAATTTAAAACGCATTTAGAAAGTGTTGCCATAATCATGTATCATACTAAATACTTTATAAAAATATCCATGCATTTGCAAATGAAAAAAAATCTTAAAACATAAGCAAAGATTAGTATACATATGAAACTAATCCAAAGCTAACCTTTATTAGTTTCTATAAGGAAAGCTATAATTGCCAAGGATGACAGGTGATTAGAGTTATATCCAGTTTTGCATATTTCCAAGCATGATACTAGATAAAATTAAATAAAAACTGCTATCCTATGGCTAAGTAGTACTGTATAATCTAAGACAATTTCTATAACTTAAAAACACTCCTGCTCAAGCCACCAGCCAATGAAAAGGGCAAAAAATAAGAGGGAAAAAGGAATTCTATATGCAATCTGTTATAGTCTAGAAAGAATAATTTCTGGCTAATGGAACTGATAAAGTAAACCAGTCATGAAGCATGCCATATACCAACTAGTGCTAGGGAAAAATTCTCTAGAGCTACACTGTCCAATATGGTAGCCTAGCAACATGTTGCTATTAAACACTTGAAAGGTAGCTAGTCCAAATTAAGTGCTATGAGTGTAAATACACAGAATGGATTTTGAAGACCTGGCATTAAAAAATGTAAACTATCTTATTTATTTTTTATACTGATTAGAAGTTAAAATGATATTTTGGACATAATGAGTTAAATCAAATATATTATTAAAATTAATTCTGTTTCCCTTTTTTTAAAACCCATTTTATTTTTTTAAAATATGGCTATTAGAAAATGTCAAATTACATATGCTGGTCATATTTTATTTCTACTGGATGAAACCACTCTATAGAGAACCAGAGCTCTTCCTTTTACAATGGTACACTTGCCCCTCTCCTTCATTATAAATAAAAACTTAGTTCCTAGCCAGGGACAACAAAAGTACACTATAAGATACAAATTCTTGTTCCAGTTCTGCTATTACCTGGTAAAGATACTGTGGGTAAATCAGATAGCCTCTCAGGGCCTGTTTCCTCATATCTAAAATCTTCCTTACTAAGGTCCTTTGGGATTATGACATTATCAGATTTAAAACAGAATAAGGCTCTCTATCTTGAAGTAGTATATTGGTAAATCTGCTCTTGGACCAGGGATTCTTAACCTAGACCCACAGAGACTATGTGCAAGTATATATCTATTTTTTACAAAGTCTACGCTTTCCATGCAATTTCTCAAAGACTGCATCTTTAAAATTAAAGATTTCAGAACTGCCTTAGCTAGTAATATAACTGGTATAATTTAACCCTTCACACTCGCCTGCTTTTTTCTTGATTCCTTTATTCTACTCAGGATTTAATTTTTTAAATACCCCAGATTTTACAAAGTGCAGCAGTAGAATAAAAAACTGGAGTTTCTTTGCATACAAATTTATTTATTTGGATTTTTTTATATTTCAAATTATTGATACATTCAAAGAGCAATTTTAATCTCTATAATTTTTGCTAGCCGAGTTGAGTCACACTCGACATCCAAGTGCAAAGGCTTAAAACTAAAAGCCGCAGAAATCAAGGATTGTTATTTCATCACTGAACTTGTCTGGCATGCTCCAGATGTGTTACTGGACAAAAATGGTGAGCTTTCATTTCCTAACCTTGCTCTTGAAGGTCTTCAACAGATTCCACTTTCTACTGTTCCATTCTAGTAGCAACACTTCTACAAATGATTTGTGCTACATATATAACATATGAGCTGTAGAATTGTGGCTGTTAAAAATGGGGTCCACTTTCAAATATAATACTTTTTAAAATCATGTACAAAAGGATAGCCCTGAAGGAATGAAATTCTATTCCATAATGTATACACACTGCTGCCATCACATTTCAATACTGGCAGACATTAGCGGCTAAAGATAAAGGTTAGATGAAACATAGGTCTTCATTAAGCAGAACTGAAATAACATAGCAATGAAGTACAACACAGCAAAAAATAACAATGTTCAACAGTGAGAAAACATGACACCCAAGTACATTAAAAGAAAAAAAAAAAGGCAATAAAGAGTGTCATGCTACCAGTCAAAAGGTACTTTTGCTTAAACTGGCGTTCTTTAACATGCATGTTGTAGTGTTAAGTACTTTAATTCTATAAAGCCACGGTTACTTTGCTAAGGACTAACAGCTGCTAAAAACTGCTATCATCTCATACTGAGAATGCTAGCTCTATACCTTTGCTCTCAGGCTGTGAGGAAGGGGTGCTGGTCCAAAAGGCCATGGGATTAGATTTAAAAAGGCTAAAATTAAATCCTAGAAAATAAAGAATATTTCATTTTTGAACATGTTGGGACAAAATGAATATGATGTTAAAATATAAAAAGAGCTTCTCAGTGTATATCAATCTGGTTGTCTTACATACTCATTTATCCTGGTGGTTTCATTGTTTGCTCACTTAATAAATGGTGGCACAACTAACATATAAAATGTGAACATCTCAATACCATGTTGAGTGATAAGAAAAAATAAATTGAAAACTGAAAATTAAAAGATTTGCATTAATGTCCATGATTCAAGTACATGAGTCCTTATACTATATTGAGTTCTTTTGCTCTGCCCTAGCATGATATAAATATCTTCCAGTGAAATCTCTTTAATGACTTAAAATCACTTGCCATTCAAATATCCACGGTGAACTTATTTAGGTAGATAAAAATATGCTTGACTATATTTTGGGTGTTTACAAAGTAATGCTTATGACCCAACTTTGACAATAACAATAGCATCCTACAGAGAGTCTGTTATCAAGATAAACATTAAAAGGAAAAAAATAAAAAAAAACTGTTCTTAACTCTGAAGACTAATAAGCACTTACCCTTTTCTGGTGTTTTAAATGTGTTATTAATGGAGGACTCATCCTTTGGAAAGGAAGCAAAGAGATTTTTGACTTTGCCATCAGAAGATTGTCTGGTATCAGTATTCTTTGACAGGTCACATTCATTAGGTTCCACTTTTCTTTCAGATCCACTCTGGACTACTGAACTAGTTTCACTATTGTTATTTTTCAAAGGTGCATTAAAACTAAATCCAAACAGAGATCCAGTGGCTGAACTGTTGCCAAATGCAAATGGTTTTGATTTTTCACTACTAAAAATGCTTTTAACAGACTCTGAACCAAATACAAACTTAGGAGGAGAAACCACTGCTTTTGTTGTTTCAGATGTGCTAGAAACTTCTCCAACTTCTGAAGTTACATCTGTTACATTGTCGGCCTGAATTAAATCTGTCCTCTCTCTTGTGGTTTCTTCTAGTACAGCTACAGCAATTTTGCCACATGGTGACTCTCTGGGAGTGCTTGAACGAGAAACATGAGGTGTTATCAAAGAATCTTTTTCTTGGGCTGTTTTTGCTTCATCAAAAATTTTCTTAAAGGAGTCGGCAACATCCTGTAGTTTAAAACGGACAGCTAAATGTTCTACTTTTCTTTCTCCATCTGCAAAATCACATGCAGTCCAGACCCACACTCTTTCTGTCCCTTTCATATTTTGCAAAGTCATGTCTGGCGTTATTCTGTGATTGGCACAAAGTTTTAGTACCTGGTCCCTTCTCATCACTATACGAACTTGCTTGTTATCATAATTCTGTAAAATCTTTATATCACCAATGCCTCTTTCTTTCCATTGACCAACATCTTTATCATATCTGTAGAGTTTTGCCCTGTGACTAAAAACAACTTGTTCATTTTCCTCACCACTGGATACTTCAACTAGATCAGGTAAAGGTACAACAGGTTCAAAGTACTGTCCATCTCTCTCTTCTTCCTGAGTAACATCAGATTCTTCATCAGTGCCAACTGAAGTTCCACTCTGATTCAACTTGGCAGGAGACTTAGATGGACTCAAAGCAGATTTAAAACTGAAATTAAATCCTGTTGTTGACTCACCAAAACGGAAAAGATTTTTTCTCACGGGGCTGCTTGCCAATGGAGAAGCATGTACTGAACTGCTACTAACACTATCATCCAAAGCATCTTCCCTTAAATCATAGTTATCCCATTCTAATGAGGGCCCAATGCTTTCAGGATTTGGCTTGACTGTTGTGTCTGAAGCAGTGGCAGCACCTGTACCTAAATTCTTACTCTCTTCGTCAATAACTTTTGTTTGATCATTTGTCAAAACTGTTTTTAAATCTTTCAGTCCACTCTTCATTTCTTCAGCTCTCTGTATTAACTTGGCAGCTCTGCCAGTATCTACGAGTTTATGGGGAGTCTGAAGTGGTATATCCAATAGAAGTCGCTGGCACTCCTCAAATTTCTGCTTGAATTCTTCAGCCAGTTCTGGTGTTTTAAATTTTGCTGCCAACTGCTCTAGTTTGGCATCACCATCAGAGAAATCACTAGCTAACCACATCCATGCTCTATCTGATCCAGAGAGAGGTTTCAGGTTCATTGTAGTTGTTATCCAGTGATTAGCACACACTTTTAGCACTTGTTCTCTTCGCATCAGCATTCGTAGTTTGCCATTGACCTCATTTTTGAGAATTTTTAAGTTCCCCAAACCCCTTTCTTTCCACTGACTTATCTCAGCATCAAATCTAAATAATTTTACCCGCTGTGAATACAGAACCTTTTCATCTTCTTCTCCTGTTACAAGTTCCACTTTTTCAGGCATTTGAACTACTGGTTCAAAATGAATGTCATCACTGTCCTCAGTTTTATAGGCATCATCATCTTTCTCAATGTCAGAAGAAGTGTTGGCTTTATCAGCCACTTTACCACTCTGTGATGAGAATAATTTTTCTCCAGCACCTAAAAATCCCTTGAAATTAGGGTCTTTTTTGCCAAATTGAAATCCTTCTCCTGAAGTTGATTTTGCAAGATCTGCAAAGGTAAAAGTGCTACCTGTTTGACCAAAAATCACACCACTACCATTCTTTTGGCTACTAACATCCTGAGCCAGGAAACCAGTGTCATTTTCAAGGTGCTTTTCACTTTTCTCTTGATTTCCTGGTTCCTGAATGCCAAATTTAAATCCATCAGCAGACGCAGGAATGGAAAAACTAAATCCTTCTTTTGTTGACTTGGATTCTGTATTAGAACCCTGAAATGTAAATGAAGGTATATTTACTTGATCCACATGCCCAAATTTAAATCCTTGCTCTCTGTTGCCAAATTTAAAAGCTTTTTCTGAAAAGTTACTTTTAAATCCTGTTTCCACCTGACTTCCAGAACAGTCATTTAACTTTGTTTTTGAGCCCAACGTGAAAGCTGAAGGAACTTCTGCAACAGGTTTATGAGTTGGTTTGGAGGAATCACAAGCCACACATTTTAAAGAAGAACTCTCATTTTGTACAAAGCAAACACCACAATCCCACTGCCCTTCCTTTTTGAACATTCCTTCAAATCCACTCTTTGGAGCCTTGCTTGTCTCTAAAGAGGCAGATGCTGAAATAGCTGAAGTAGGCTGACTCTGTTTATTTGGATTCTGACAAGCAATACATTTGGTGGCGCTGGCTTCATTTCTTACCAAGCATGAACTGCAATCCCACTGTCCTTCCTTCTTGGTGAACATTCCCTCAAACCCACTCTTTGGAGCCTTGCTTATCTCTGAAGAGGCAGATGCTGAAATAGCTGAAGTAGGCTGACTCTGTTTATTTGGATTCTGACAAGCAATGCATTTGGTGGCACTGGCTTCATTTCTTACCAAGCATGAACTGCAATCCCACTGTCCTTCCTTCTTGGTGAACATTTCCTCAAACCCACTCTTTGGAGCCTTGCTTATCTCTGAAGAGGCAGATGCTGAAGGAGCAAAAGTAGACTGATTCTGTTTACTTGGATTTTGACAAGCAACACATTTGGTAGTGCCGGCTTCATTTCTTACCAAGCATGAACTGCAATCCCACTGTCCTTCCTTCTTGGTGAACATACCATCAAACCCACTCTTTGGAGCCTTGTCTGTCTCTGAGGTACCAAATTTAAAAGAGGCAGGAGCTGGAACAGCAGAAGCAGACAGACCTGGTTTACTTGGATTCTGACAAGCAACACATTTTGTAGCATTTGCTTCATTTCGCACTAAGCATGAATTGCAATCCCACTGTCCTTCCTTCTTAGCAAACATGTCCTCAAATCCACTCTTTGCAGTTTTACTTATCTCTGAAGTACCAAATTTAAAAGAGGCAGGTGCTGAAACAGAAGTAATAGGTAGACTTTGTTTTCTTGGATTCTGACAAGCAACACATTTTGTAGAGCTTCCGTCATTGTGTACTAAACATATACCACAATCCCACTGTCCCTCCTTTGTAGAAAAAACAGATCTGAAATCACTGTTAACAGACTTAGGAAGATCTCCCTGGCCAAATTTAAAGGAAGTTTGATGAACAAATGAAGATCCACTTTTGTTAGCAGATTTTGTATTCTGGCATGCAATGCACCTAGTAACAGTAGGTTCATTTCTTACTAAACAAACACTGCAATCCCAGTGGCCTTCTTTCTTTGAAGTCATCAATGCAAATCTATCTTGAGTATTTTCTGGGCCGGTTTTAGGAGCAAAAACAGTTTCAACTAATTGTGGGCCAACAGGCTCTTTCATGCTTGGGTTTAGATTTTGGCATGATACACATTTCTTAGCACTTGCAGCATTCTTTAATGAGCAGCTGTTACAATGCCACCAAGACCCTTCTTTCTTTGCAACTTGAAATTCAAAATTCATGTTTCCAGCATCAGATTTGCAAATATTCTTGTTATCATGGCTTGTGGGTTCTTTTGCCATTCTAACAGTTTGATTTGGAGCTGTGCCTACATTTGTTCCTATGGCTTTTAAAATGCTCTGGGCCTCTTCAAACTTGCACTTAAAAAGTGCTGCTTCCTCAGGAGTTTTAAATCTAATAGCAAGTTGTTCTGGTTTCGGCAGCTCATCTGCATAATCATGGGCATGCCATACAAAAGATCGGTCTGAGCCAGCATTTGGTGTCAGTTTCATATCTGGACTAATGTAATGATTTGCACAGATTTTCAGTACTTGCTCTCGTCTCATTAGAAGGCGAATTTTGCCAGATGTTTTATGCCTTAGTATTTTTACATTGCCAATCCCACGTTCCTTCCATTCTTTTGATTCTCCATCAAAACGGAACAATTTTGCACGATTGCAAAAGAATTCTTCTTCATCTTCCTCACCAGTTTTTACTTCAATCTTATCGGGAAGAGGTACCACAGGCTCAAAGTGAGGGCCATCATCATCATCCCCATGGGCACTTCCTCCATCTGTTTCATGATTCTTGTTTGCCAGCTCTGGAGTGGGTGTTCCAAATATTGATTTCCCTGGACCATGGAAAGTAAACATATCATCACTTCGACGAAAACCAGAATTCTTTTGCTGACTTGGTCCCATATTTTCTGTAAATGGAATTCCTGGCATATTTTTGCTGCCAAAATTGAATGGATTTCGAGATCCAGAGGTTTGGCTAGGAATTGGTTTTGGTCCACTATAGCTATCTCCTTGCAAAGGTTTATCTGAAGTCAGGAGACCTAAAAGGCATTCATTGTTACTGAAAATTGCAGAACTGGGATGTGTCACAACCTGTGGTGAGGAAAATGTAAAGTCACCATCATTTGATTTGAAATTTGAGTTAAATTTAAAAGGAGTTGGCTGTGTTGTATGTGCTGGTGTTGTCAAAGATGGCCTTATTCCTTCAGCTGGCATGGGCTGAACAAAATTAGGTTTTCCAAATTCCATAACCTTAGATTCTGCAGATCTTGAAGCATGAGCTGCAACTGGGGGTTTTGTGAAATATCCTGGTTCTGGCAAAGGTGGATGTGTGCTTGTCTGTTGAACATTGTAATTTAAGTAATCATCACCCCTGGGTGACAGAATTCCTGTTGCAGGAGACTCAAAACGCAAAGTAGGAGGACCATACATCTCCTGAGAGAACATACAAGCAGATGAGCTTTGCACTGGTGGTGTGTGCATCTGTTGTGAATAGGTATTATAAATATGCTGCTGGGGTGGAAGCCTATTCATTCCATACACTGGACCCTAAAAGAGAGAAAGTTAAAATATTTTGAAGATTGTCTACAAAACTACAGATAAGTAGATACAAATCAATTCTCACAAACTTTAAAATATTATTAGGTAAAGAAGGTATCATTAGAGTATACAGCACATCATTAAGAGAGGATATTACTATAAAGATATCTGCATATATACCTGGCATGTAATAAAGATTAACAATAGCATCTTAAAAATCTATTTCTACAATAAATCCACAGAATATCTTCTTCATTCCTAAATAATTTATCAAATGATGTTAATAGTATTACCATATTTCACCGAAAATAAGACACGGTCTTATATTTATTTTTCCTCAAGAAGACACCCTAGGGCTTTTTTTCAGGGGATGTGTTATTTGTTTTAAGTACAGTACAACAATCTACATTTATTCAAATATAGTTAAGTCGTCTTCTTCTGGAACGTCATCATAACTCTCCAAACCCCAAATTCCATCCTGAATTTCTGGCGAATGTATTTCCTTTAGAACCATTGGCCCCAATCTCTCATGCCGAGCAATAGAGCTCTGGTGGGGCAGATGAGAAGAGCTGCTCGTCTTCTTTACCGCTCTGCGACGAAATTCACAGGTTGTCCAGATACACTGGGTAGCCACGCCCATCGCTAGGTCTTATTTTGGGGGTAGGGCTTATATTGCGCAAATGCTTAGAAATCCTGCTAGGGCTTATTTTATGGGTAGGTCTTATTTTCGGGAAACACGGTACTGATGATGATGATGATGAAGAAAATTAACATTTATTGAGCATTTTTTAAAGTGCCAATTGGTCACTGTTCTAAGCACTTTATATCTATTATCTGATTTTAATATCCTCAAAAACCCTATGAATTAAGGCATTATTATTATCCCCATTTTACATATGAGGTAACAGAAGTAGTGAGAGGTTAAGAAACTAGCCCAGGGCCACATAATGAACAGGAGAAGGGTCTAACACCTCAACCCTCTGTCCTCAAAGCCCTCACATTGAGATAATATTGTAGTTTTGGGTCTTAATCAACAGTTGTGTAGCCATATCAGGCCTAAAAGTACTTACCACATAGTGGTTCAGCAAGGACATTCTAGTTCTATTTCTGCCAAAACAGGATGATGAATGACCCATCAATCACCATCACCACTCTCACTTAAAAAATATTCTAAATGTTCACACTTATAAAAATAAGGTGACTAAGAAGTATACCTTCTGTATCTAGAGAGAGATTAGAAGTATCCATACCTTATGGGACATATTAGTTTTAATACTGAACTACTTCACTAAATTTCTTTGAAGGAAGCCTAAACAATTAAAAAGAAGATACTTATAAATGTATAAATTATTCCTTTGTTACCTTTGTGGGAGTAACATTAGCTGCTGGTCTGAGAAGATACTGGGAATTATATGCTGGTGACTGACTATAATATACTGAAGGGCCAGTAGTTGCAACTAAAAAAAAAAAGGAAAAAAAAAAAAAAGAAAACACTGTTAAAGTCTATACTACAGTTATTAACTATCTAGGCAAGAACTATAAATACAAAAGCAACAGAAATTGAAGAAAGATTTAACTACATAGATTTTTAAATTTCTGTACATCAAAATATACCAATCAAGGAGATTATCAAATGATAAACCAGACAAAACTGCTAAATATGACACAAGGAATAAGAGAATAGCACTGCTGCGATCCAGAACAAGCACCTAACAAGCATCAAAAAAGAAAGTAAGGAGAAAGTAATTGGTCCATTTTCTAAGAAAGATCAGTATGATGTGAAAGCACAGACATGCTCAACATCAGAAAGACTAGGAATATACTAGTTACAGAAAGGACTTATGGAACCAAAGTGCAAGTGAACCTTGAAAATCTGCAGAATGAGGAGGTCGCATTTGGTAAACTAAAGCTATTACTGAGAATGTACAAGCTAAAAATCACAAATTCATGGAAAGAATCTCACAAGTAACACGAAATGAGTTCCCCTGGCATTAAAGAGGGGTAAAAAAGCATATCACCACTTAGGTTGATATACAAACTATGTGCTCCATCTGTTTTATGTGAGTTTTACCAGGAAGCCAAACAACTAGAAGGTACTCATGTTAATGGCAAAATTATTTGTTATGACAGTTTTACCAGAAAACAAAACAACCAGAAGACCTTTTAGGCCTGTACATGGAAGAAATGGAAACTGTGCCCCAAAGGTTCCAAACAACTGATTCTGGGAAGCATTGAAAAATACCTAGAAAAAGGCTAGTCGCAAGCCCAAGTATGAAAGTGGACTCTGAATGGAACTGCCTAGTAAAGATAGTTATCTTGGAATTACTATGGGGAGGAAAAAAGGATAGAACAGAGACAAAGCTAACAGACATGAGCCAAGAATCATAAAGTCTGAAATTTAACTAGGGACTTTATCCTTGATTACTGACTCTTAACAGTGAAGAAAAAATTAAAAAGAGCTCTTATAAATCCATTAAAAATAATCTAATTTTAAAAAGCACCACATAAATAGATAATTCAGGAAATAAATATCAAAAGGCCTTAAGGGCTATGTTTTTGAAGTGGGTCTCAAAAATCTGCAGAATGATGAGGTTACACTCAAGCTATTACCGAGAATGTTCAGGTCAAAAAAATCATCTGACAAATTCCTGGGAAGGATCTCACAAGGAACAGAAATGTGCTCCTTGGCTTAGGGGGGAAAAAAAGCACATCAGCTTTCATGTTGATACACAAACTATCTGCCCATCTGTTTTGTGTTTTACCAGGAAGGCAAACAACTAGAAAAGGCACTCATGTTGGTAAAACCACCAACAGTCATTTGCATGAACTGTTGAGCATGTTGAAGTGTTGAACATGCCTAGTAAAAAAAAAACTTTAAAACTTTATACCATATGTGTTCCTACAAAGTGCTAAAGGTTTTTACAAACTGAAACACTAGCAAGAGCACAAAGATGGCACTATTAGATACTAATGGTAAGAGTGTAAACTAATTTTTAAAATATCCGACAATCAAAGGACTGTGTCCTAGGATTTATAATAGCATGAATTGGAAACCACATACGGCAATAGAATTTATGGTACTTCTACATGATAGGATATTACAAAAGCCCATTAAAATTCAAAGAAAATTTAATTTTAAAAATGCTCAGAACTTAAAATAATAACAAAAAAGGCGGTCGGGCGCAGTGGCTCCTAGCACTCTGTGAGACCGAGGCAGGAGGATTGCTCAAGGTCAGGAGTTCGAGAACAGCCTGAGCAAAAGCGAGACCCCCCGTCTCTTCTAAAAATAGAAAGAAATTAATTGGCCAGCTAAAAATATATAGAAAAAATTAGCTGGGCATAATTACGAATGCCTGTAGTCCCAGCTACTCAAGAGGCTGAGGCAGGAGGATCACTTGAGCCCAGGAGTCTAAGGTTATTGTGAGCTAGGTTGATGCCACAGCATTCTAGCCCGGGTAACAGAGTGAGACTCTTGTCTCAAAAAAAATAAAAACAAAAAACGCTAAGTCGTTTACATACAACATAGTAACATGGTTAAAAACCTTATTAAAAATACTTTATGTATACATAGAAAAAGAACCAGAAAGGAATGCTCCAAAATGTTAATAGGACTATGTGATAAGAAAGTAGGTAGTTTTTAGTTGTCTTTACGTTGTTCCATACTTCTGAGAATGTCCTACAGGCTTACCAATCTTTGTTTTTAATCATCCACCTTGATACATTTTTACTTTCATGGGGGGGGGGAGGAGAAGCCTATGAACACAGGAATAGGAATCAGGAGACCTGGGTTCTCTCAGCCCTTTCAGTGGCACAAAGCTACTTTGTGACCCTGCTGTCAATAAGCCATTTGGAATCTCCATTTTTCTTAATTGTAAAATGAGGATGAGCTGCTTCTACACATTCATAGGGTCATTGCAAGAATAAAATGAGACAATGTAAATGTTGTGCTTATATGCTTGTACAATACCAGAAGGCCTTTTAAGTTTGTACAGAGAAGAAATGGAAATTGTGTCTCAAAAGGTGCCAAATGACTAACTGCACACAGCACTGAAAAAGTCCTAGAAAAGGCTAGCCAGTCTATTTACCCTCTTACAAGTCTCTGTACCAGGCGCCTAGCACATTTATCCGGCCCTCTGGGTGTTTTTGCCACGCCGCTGCTGCCTATCCTCCTTAGCAGCCGACTCGTCCTGGGCCCACAGTGCGCACTCTCCAATGGTCTGAGGGACAGTGAACTGGCCCCCTGTTTTAAAAGTCTGAGGACCCCTGCTCTATACAATGCATGGGAGTTTTAAGTAAGTAGGGTTTGAACTCTAGACATCTCACATACTTAGCTACGACTCATAACATTTAATAAGCTTGACTTCACAAAGATTTTCTGTTATTTTGCTTGCATTTAGGAGACACTCTCACAAGAGGCTGGTGGAGGTGCCTTAAGTATGAACCATCACACAAATGTGCTAATCTAAATGAGATTTTATCATTCTAATACTTTCTTAGGCTAAAAGCAATTAGAAAAAAAAAAAACATGCACTTTCAGTAGTCTGTCTGGTGTAAAAGAAATCTATTTTTATTGTCATTTCTGGCTGCCAGGGGGCAATGTATCATAATAGCAAGCACTCAGGAGTTAATACTACTTGAGTTTGAATCCCAGCTCTATCAATAACTAGCTATATAATAATGGTTAAGTTACCTAACCTTTCTAAAACCATTTCCTCATTTATAAAATTGGGAGATTAATAGTGGTAAATCAAATTACATTCACAAAACACTTTTGCACATAGCCAAATCACAGTAAGCACTATTAGTAACCTTAGTGCAGTAAATGTTTACTGTATACTATAATCAATGCCTAGTACACACCCACACCCAACCACATATATGATCGTAGTGATTATGTGAAGTATTATCTCCATGTTTCAGAGAGATTAACTTCACACAGCTAATATGTGATATAACACATCTTAAAAACCCAATATGGTCTAAGTCCTAACTCCCTGTCCTTCTATATATAGCCATAATATTTCAAAATAAATAACACTTCCTATTAGTGTCCTGTCTCTCAGTATATCAAAATAATTCTCCAGATATTTAAGTTTTTCTTTAGATATGTTACTACATAACTTTATTAGCATTTTTCAATTTAAGGAATAATACCATCTCAGACTCAATTTATCTGAGGTGATAGGGTACATTAAAGGGTTCATTAAGCCCTTATATACATGAGATCAGATAAAACTTGTTTTATTTCTGCTTGGAATTATAAAAATCTCCATAATACCAAATACAGTTTTTTAAGTGATATAAAAACAGACAGATATTAACATGTATATAAACAAACATAAACAGACATGGTGATTTCACAACTTATCTATTTAAAAGAGGGAGGTAGAGTGGTTTTACTAAAATCTGGGATTATCCAATTGCCAGCTCACCTGTTAGTGGAGGCCCATGAAATGTCTGTGATCCCTGATATCCATCAGGCACTGCGTCTGGTCCATAATTCTCTGTGGGCCAACGATGAGGGGATGCTGAGTTACTGCTATTTAGTTTCAGTTCCTGCATTTCTTTCTATTGGAAGAAAAAAAGAAAATAATTTTAAAGATTTAATTAGATTATGCCAGGGCAGACTTAATATTTTAAATTTAAATACTTGATGGTGTCTTTTAAGAGATTCTATTTCCAATGAGATCTGGCTATCAGGTAGTGATTTCAAAACATGATGCTGAAATTGTTAAAATTTATAGTATTTGCTCCCATTCTTTCATTTCTTAGTGCCACCTACCTATCCATTCATTCTAAGTCTAACCTAAACAACTGAATAACCTCCTAAATGATCTCATCTCCATTTCTACTTTACATTTTCCTATATTAATTTTTCTGAAGTTCAGTTCCAGCCAAGAAATGTCCCCGATCAAAACAGCAAGTACCTACAAATTAAACTTCTTTCTCCAACCTTCACAGTCCTCAAGTAGTACTACCCTGACCATCCTTCCAGTGTCTCCTTTCCATATTATTACTTTACTCTTCAGTCCATCTGGACTACTCAACATTCCATATTGCCTCCTAAAACTAGCATTCCACTTATCCATGTGCTATTAATAAAGTACTATTAATTCTCATTGATGCTCAAATGCTCCACCAGGGAAGGGAAAACAACTAATATTTGGACAGAATTTATTACATATGTAATAATATGCTCCAGGCACTTAAGTTCTTAATTAATCTTTATACCGGTAAACAATATTAACTCATATCTTAAAATGGGAAAAAAAAAATGAAGAAAATGGCACAGCTGAAATCTTCACTCCAAAAATGTTTTCGTAACACCACTCTGCTGCCTAGATGGGATTCCGATATATTGCCTTCTAATGTAGCTATGTGCTAGCTCTGATTTCTGCTAAAGACTATAATAGATGACAACATCCTATCCAACTCCAGAATCTACAAAACAAGGTTGTCCTAAGAAACAGAAATAATCAATAAAGTAATTCTTATTTTAAAGAAACTGTAGTGGTATCAGATAACAGGTCAATTTTGAAAACAGTTTCAAACTTCTCTATACCAGCCCAGACATCCAACGAGTTATAACATGTGAGATCAGAGCAGAGATAAAATGTCTTTTTTATTCCACAAGTGTTTCAAATAAATATTTCCCAGAAAGACATAACTATGAAGTCCAAAACTCTCAATTTTCAAACTAAATAAAATTTTCCTTATTCATCCATCTACTCTGCCTAGTCCAGATGCTGCATATCCAAGAATAAGAAATCGGTAGAATCAACTGGAAAATTTTAGTGGTCACTATTGATACTAGGACCTCAGTGCTGAACTTGCAATCAGTGCTATAATCATAATTTTTAAGACTGAAAATACTAGAAAATGTTATGAGAATTGGTTTCAACAATTCTCTAACTTTACACTTTACAGATGAGAAGCCAGGAAATATAAAGTTAAGGAAGCAACTGGCCCAAAATCATTAATTAGTGGCAGAGTCAGTATAAACACCCAGCTTTTCAGGCTCACGAACTAGTCCACTATACTTCCACAGAATACAATATTCAGTGCCTGAAACCTCGATGTTAAATCAGTGTATGTAATATCATAAGCCACAATTATACAAAATGAATATACAAAATCTCTGTGCAAGCCAAGGAAATAATCATTAGAGCAAACAGACAACCTACAGAATGGGAGAAAATATTCACATGCTTCACTTCTGATAAAGGGTTGATAATTAGACTCTACATAGAATTCAGGAAAGTTAGCAAGAAAAAAAGAAAATCAAACAACCCCATTAAAAAATGGGCAAAGGACATGAACAGAAACTTTTCAAAAGATAGACTAATGGCCAACAAACACACTAAACAATGCTCAATACCTCTAATCATCAGGGAAATGCAAATCAAAACCACAATGAGATATCATTTAACTCAGTGAGATGGCTTCATCAAAAAGTCCCAAACAGGCCGGGCACGGTGGCTCATGCCTGTAATCCTAGCACTCTGGGAGGCCGGAGCAGGTGGATTGCTCGAGGTCAGAAGTTCGAAACCAGCCTGAGCAAGAGCGAGACCCCCGTCTTTACTATAAATAGAAAGAAATTAATTGGCCAACTAATATATATAGATAAAATTAGCCGGGCATGGTGACACATGCCTGTAGGCTACTTGGGAGGCTAAGGCAAAAGGATTGCTTGAGCCCAGGAGTTTCAGGTTGCTGTGAGCTAGGCTGACACCATGGCACTCACTCTAGCCTGGGCAACAAAATGAGACTCTGTCTCAAAAAAAGGAAAAAGTCCCAAACAACAAATGGTGGCATGGATATGGAGATAGGAAAACTCATACACTGCTGGTGGGACTGCAAACTAGTACAACCTCTATGGAAAGTAATATGGAGATACCTCAAAGAATTAAATGTAGAACTACTATTTGAAACAGTAACCGCACCACTGGATATTTACCCACAGAAAAAAAGACAGTCTACAAAAAAGACACCTGCACCCAAATGTTTATAGTAGCACAATTCACAACTGCAAAGATGTGGAAACAACCCAAGGGCTCATCAATACATAAGTGGATTAATAAAATGTAGTATATGTATACCATGGGGTACTACTCAGCCATAAAAAAAATGGTGAGCTAATACCTCCTGTATTAACTTGGATGGAACTGGACACCACTCTTCTAAATATCACAAGAATGAAAAAACAAACACCACATGTACTCAACCATTAACTTGGAATTAATAGATCAACATTTATGTGCACATATGGAAATAACTTTCCGTATGTTATTGGAGGAGAGGATGGGTAAATTTACACCTAACGGGTACAATGCACACTATCAGGGGAAAGGCACACTTTGACTCAAATAGTACAAAAGCAATTTATGTAACCAAAATGTTTGTACCCCCATAATATTATGAAATTAAAACGATAAAAAAAACTTAATACAAATTCGAAAAAATTTTTCCCTCCAAACAGTATTTTCTAAGTTTCACACACTGTTGATCACACTGTAATAATTGCCACAGATCAGGATATCCTTGTTATGAGAAATTTAGTTCTGACCCAATGTGCATGAAAAAACCTGTTATTTCCAATTCCAAAGAAATAAAGCTCCTTTGAATCACATAGTTAAATTAAGATTATATATATATAACTATTTTCTTACATTATTAAGTCACATTCACAAAAGTATTAAAAGAGATAAAGACTTTTTGAAGTTTGGACCACTCTTTCAATTCCTAGCTATAAATTTAACACACACCTGATCCATAGCCTATCTATGAATGATCTCATAGACCAAGGTCTGATCGTTGTATTTTAGTAGTTCGATCACTTGCGAACATCCTCTGTGCCAAGAACTGTGTTATATTTTGGATAAAAGTCTTTACCTTTGAAAGACTCAAATTTTGTTTATGAGGACACAGAGACATAAGTAATTTCAACACTATGGTAAAGGGTCAAGACAGAGATATATAAAACATGTTATGATTCTACAGTAGGATGGGAAGGGGACATTTTGACCAGCTTTAGAAACAAGTGAGGGAATGGATAGGGAAAGAATCTTGGAGTAAGAGGTACAGTTACTGAAACTGAATGACTTACTTTAATGGCCTCTACTTGTTGGCAAATCATTTTCAGTAAAGAATTCTGATCTTCTGCCCATCGAGGTGGTGTTTTGGGAGAATACTAAAAAACAGAAACAAAACAAAAAAATAATAATAATACTTAAAACACTTAGAATAGTAACATATTCCATAAATGGAGTGATTCTTTCTTACCTACCTTGTAAGTTTTATTTGGTGATAGTGAATATTTGGTGGGAGATGGCGTAGAATGTTTTATTTCTGAATCTGCATTTCGCAAAGAACCATTTTTAGAAAAAGGGCCTCCTTCACTATAGTCTTCAAGTTCCTGCATGACTGAATTAAGCATCTCTTTTACAGACTCCAGGGGCACAGGCAACTAAAAACAAAAGGCATTAATCAAGGGCTTTAGTATAAAAATACCAAAAGTAATAACTCGAAAATATAAAGATGTTATATTAATACTATTTACATTTTTCTCACTTTAACAAGCCCTTTAAATTGTAATACATATGAATATACTGTATACCGTATAGTCTTCTGACTCTAAAGTCCATGCTGTTTCTGTTAGCCATAATGGTGGAGAAATGTTAAATTGGGAAGTTTTTCCAAGTGAATGACATAAGTTACTGATATTTTCTAACTGATTTTGAATGGAGAGAAATATAGATGCTAGAATACACCCAACATCATAAATCCTAATCAAAAAGTAGCAGCAAAAATTAATCAACAAAGTTCTCAGAAGGAAAGCTGAACATAATTTAATACCATCAAGCCAATCTCAAACTGCTGACAGCTGGAAAACAAGACAGTCCGCAAGAGATGATGAGATGAGAAGAAATGCTCTGAGGTTGTTGACCACTTTCAATTTCAGCAAAATTCATTAAGAATTAATGCTGAATATCTGTTTTGATTACATTGCCAAGATAACAATATTAATGTCATACCTTGGAAATCTTTCCTACTTCCCCAAGTACTTTTGTAAGAGTATATACCTAGGATCAAGTTTTAAAAAAAGACACACCAAGGCTGGGCGTGGTGGCTCACGCCTGTAATCCTAGCACTTTGGGAGGCCGAGACGGGCGGATTGCTCAAGGTCAGGAGTTCGAAACCAGCCTGAGCGAGACCCCGTCTCTACCAAAAAATAGAAAGAAATTAATTGGCCAACTAAAAAAGTATATATATATACAAAAAATTAGCCGGGCATGGTGGCGCATGCCTGTAGTCCCAGCTACTCGGGAGGCTGAGGCAGTAGGATTGCTGAGCCCAGGAGTTTGAGGTTGCTGTGAGCCAGGCTGACGCCACGGCACTCACTCTAGCCTGGGCAACAAAGTGAGACTCTGTCTCAAAAAAAAAAAAAAAAAAAAAAAAAAAAAAAGACACACCAAACCTAAGGCAAAGAAAACCAAGTTAAGCAAGGCCAGGTGCGGTGGCTCACGCCTGTAATCCTAGCATTCAGGGAGGCCGAGGCTGGCGGATTGCTCGAGGCCAGGAGTTCGAAACCAGCCTGAGCAAGACCGAGACCCCGTCTCTACTATAAATAGAAACAAATTAATTGGCCAACTAATATATGTAGAAAAAAATTAGCTGGGCATGGTGGTGCATGCCTGTAGTCCCAGCTACTTGGGAGGCTGAGGCATGAGGATCGCTTGAGCCTAGGAGTTTGAGGTTGCTGTGAGCTAGGCAGACGCCATGGCACTCACTCTAGCCTGGGCAACAAAGCGAGACTCTGTCTCAAAAAAAAAACCAAAAAAAAAAGAAAAGAAAGTTAGGCATTTATATACACATCCTCCTTCTGTGCATTAGTAATATGGTATTACTGGGTGTTTTTGAAATTGCCAAAATACAAAACCAAGACAAAAACACTGGTTGCTAGGTTATCAATAAGGAAGTATGTACAACAACCTGCAACTTACTTTCTTGACCACTGAAAGATTTGAATCACTGTCATCTATAATCTTTAGTAAGTAGTCCCTGGTCCTTCTCAAATAATTTTTGCACTCTTCTTGTTCTTCAGGAGAAAGGGCATCATTTCCAATGTCTTCTGCCTTCCTGTGAAAAATCTATACAAAGAGTGCTTTTATGAAACAATTAGGTTTTAAAAACAAAAACCTTTTAATTCAAATATCACATCTACTTACCAGTGCAAGATTCCAGTAAGAAACAACATTTTTTATAGATTCAAAAGCAGTCATAGCATCTTCTATATTTCCATTAACTGCATCCAATATAGCAAAAGTTGTATGTGCATCTTCTTCATATTCACCAATTTCAGATGCCTAAACACATTTAGCAGTTTTTAGTCAAATCGTTTTTACTCAGCATATCAAACCCAAATGATTTTATATGATCCAAAGAGCTTAACATCTCATTATTCATTTGTCATATTTTACTTGCAACAACTAGATTTAAAAAACAAAGCAATTAAATAACAAGGCAATTAATTTGAGTTCATATCTCCGTTTCTTTGTTTATAAATGGAAATCTATATCCCCAGTAAATTCACAAAGAGATTCTCTGTCACCTGAATGTCTGCACTATGAAAATGTTTAAACAGAGGATCAGTAGGTTCAGGAATACTGCTCTTCTTTTTGATTATCTTCAATAATGGTAAAACTTTTTTCCAATAATGAACGCTTCTGCCTATGTATTCCCGTTGATCATAAAAAGAATTAAGACCGCTGCCCTAAAACAGAAAGTCAGATGTACACAACTTTAAGGAACATATAAGGAATTTTTTAAAATCTAAAACTTCATTTACATATGCTAAGAACAACTGTAAAGTTTCAAGTCAAAACCAAATGGAATACTCAAAAGTAGTTTGGTCAACTTTCCAAATATTGGAATAACTAACCACTCTATTACCAGTGATCACTCTAGACTCAACTTTAAAACATTTTCAATGACATTACTTTATGAGGCAGTCCAACCTATTTTTTTAAGAGTTGCTATTTTTAGATAGCCAAAATTTGCCTCTCTGTGGTATCACAGTTTGGTCAAAGGGCTAACCAAATTTCTGTGTAGTATCAGTTTGTCAAAGGGCAAAACTGGCCACCCAATCTGGCCACAAGATAGACCTCAAATATTTATTTTAATATACATGTGCACATACATATTTATACATTTATTTCAGAGACAGGGTCTCACTATGTTCCCCAAGCTAGTCTCAAACTCCTGTGCTCAAGCAATCCTCCTGATTAAGCCTCCCAAGTAGCTAGAATTACTGGCCCCCACGCCCAGCTAGATCTCAAATATTCAGAAAGATGTATAATGCCCTTACACAGAAAGCCATGTGCTATCTAACACTTTAAAAAATTGTTCTGGCTGATGCCACAGCACTCACTCTAGCCTGGGCAACAAAATGAGACTCTGTCTCAAAAAAAAAAAAAAATTTCCAACTGAACAATAATCATAACTTAATTACTAAATAGTAACAATAATAGCAAATATTTACCTTGGGCTGGGCACTACTTCTCCAAGTGCTTATATATAACTGTATTAACTATTTTGTGGCAAGACTAAAAACACATTTCACCTGGCATAATATAAACAAGCTGTTATTGTTTCCAGAAAAAACTTACAATAAAAAGTGCATAATTTTTAAAAAATTAATGTTCTTTAAGAATGTTCAGAGCCGGGCGTGGTGGCTCACGCCTGTAATCCTAGCACTTTGGGAGGCCGAGGCGGGCAGACTGCTCAAGGTCAGGAGTTCGAAACCAGCCTGAGCGAGACCCCGTCTCTACCAAAAATAGAAATAAATTAATTGGCCAACTAAAAATATGTATACAAAAAATTAGCCGGGCATGGTGGCACATGCCTGTAGTCCCAGCTACTGCGGAGGCTGAGGCAGTAGGATCGCTGAGCCCAGGAGATTGAGGTTGCTGTGAGCCAGGCTGACGCCACGGCACTCACTCTAGCCTGGGCAACAAAGTGAGACTCTGTCTCAAAAAAAAAAAAAAAAAAGAATGTTCACACTTTAATAAACTCACCGTTTTCTGAAGACATTTTGCCCAATGTACAAGCAGAGCAGGTTGAAGGCCATGTTTTTCCTGGCCTCTTAGAGTGTTTATTTCATGCTGAACTAGAAGTCGCAATTTTGCTGAGGTTCCAGGGCTAAAAAAAAGTTTAATATAAATGCTTTATAAACACACAGTTCAACATGTACATTATATAACTGTCACATGACAAATTAAATCATCACATAAGAAAGTAAATCCCCAGTAAAACCAAGGCAATAAGTTAAATAATATTTCTGTTTTACTACTTACATAGCTTTTCTGTGAATTAGATTACAGACTGCATCCCACCAAGTTTTCTGTCTATCTGTACAAAGCTGTTTACACACGGGAAGTGGCAAGCACAGTGGCTGACAGGTGGTGTAGTGAGAATTACATTTCTCCTTTAATTGTAAGTGGCTGGTGTATATCACGCCAAGTAAAAATACCTATTTTATTTAAAGAAAAATTAAATTAAGTTAGAAAAAGGCTAAACAATACTCAAAATATTTAATGTGTTAAAATCTTTGCTTACTTCAAGATCTAAAATACATATTGATTCAGGTGCATTTGTTTCAAGCCTTGAGGTTTCCTGGGGCAAATGATGAAAAAGCTGTTTTAGCCATTTTCGAATTGCAGGTAAGGTAGGCAATGAATTCCACTGTAAGCCAAGCCAAGTAAGGTGCTGAAGACTACCATTATGAGCACGAATGGCACCTGAAATTAAAAAAAAAAAAATTGGCTTGAGGTTTTGAAAACTTCCCTTGTGCCATTAGTTTTGCCAAAATAAACCATTAATGCACATTAAATGTGTCTTATACAATTGCTTTGCTATATCAGAGCTGGAGGAAATTCCATGAGAAGCAAACTCTCATGTTCTTACTATATACAGTCACACTTTATATCTAGAAATTTTAATAAAAACAGTATGGGCTGGGCATCGAGGCTCATGTCTGTAATCCTAGCATTTTGGGAGACCAAGGCAGGAAGATCACGTGAGGTGAGGAGTTTGAGACCAGCCTGGGCAACATAGCAAGACCCTGTTCTCTGCAAAAATAAAAAAAAAAAAAAACAGCCAGGCATGGTGGCACATACCTGTAGTCCTAACTACTGGGATGCTGGGTTAGGAGGATCATCTGAGCCTGGAAGTTTAAGCTGCAGTGAGCTATGATGATGTCACTGAACTCTAGCCAGGGCAACAGAGTGAGGCACCCCTACCTGCCCCCACCACCGCCAAAAAAAGTTGTTATAGATAATTTTTTTTCAAGTCCATCTAAGGAAATGAGATTCACTAGAATTCAGTAAAACAAAATCTGCTTATAGAGACCAAATAAAGAATATTCACCTAATAAGAAATCCTAAAACAATGGATTTTCTTTTCAGTAAAGTCGTTAAACAATGGAATATCACTATATTAATCCATTAATATAATAAAGAGATCTTTTCTTCTACAACAAAATCAATACTGAAAGGGTTATAGAAGCTTCTGGAAGCATAAAGAGAGGTACAACCTTTCTGGCACCTTGGCAATTTGCAAAAGACTTGTAACTGTCCATCTCCTCACTAATTCTGTTTTTAGGAATCTCTATGGAAATCACTTGAAATGTAGACACTTTATATTGAAGTTTCCATCACAATATTATTTATTTATTTTTTTTTTGAGACAGTCTCGCTTTGTTGCCCAGGCTAGAGTGAGTGCCGTGGCGTCAGCCTAGCTCACAGCAACCTCAAACTCCTGGGCTCAAGCGATCCTGCTGCCTCAGCCTCCCGAGTAGCTGGGACTACAGACATGTGCCACCATGCCCGGCTAATTTTTTTTTTTTTATATATATATTAGTTGGCCAATTAATTTCTTTCTATTGATAGTAGAGATGGGGTCTCGCTCTTGCTCAGGCTGGTTTCGAACTCCTGACCTCGAGCAATCCGCCCGCCTCAGCCTCCCAGAGTGCTAGGATTACAGGCGTGAGCCACTGCGCCCGGCTACAATATTATTTTTAATAGTGAAAAAACTAGAAACAATTTGGATGCCCAATAGTAGAAAGTAGCAAGCAAATTATGGCTAATTCATAAAAAAAGCTTGCCATTAAAAGTGCTATATGTAGAGTTTTAATATAGATACTATGGAAAAGAATTCATGAAAGATAAATCACATATACAGTAAAAACAACTATATACAGAAGAATATATGCACCCACCACCACCCCTTCCAGCTCTCTCAAAAAGGAAAAAAAAACAGAAAAGAATACAGAAAAATATTAAGTCATTATTTCAGGGTAATAAGATAATGGACAATTTACTGTCCTCCTAATATAAAAGGATTAAGATGCAGAAGGTTTCCTTTGAAGCATGTAACTTACCAACATCATATCTAGCCAAATCATCAGGCTCTGGTGCTTGCACAGCAATGTTTCCGATATCATCACCACCAAGGAAAGATTTATCCTTAGGTGACTGACTAGAAAACAGAGCATCATATAAAGTAGACTGCCCACTTTTATTGGCAAAAGATTCCACAACCTCTTTTAAAAAATCTTGCTTGCCACGACTTAAGTTTAGCAACATGTGTCCTGAAAAATAAATTATATCCATCATTTTAAAAATACAGATTATATTTACTCATATCTCTCTAGTTTCATTTGCATACCCAACAGGGAAATAAGATGATTATGTCAGACCTAACCCTCCAACCCCAAAACTACAGCTGGACAACAAAAACGGTGCTCATGTAGAATAAATAGAGTATAGGTTTTTAAGAGCGTGTCTACATAAGAGAATAAAAAGGAAGAGAAAAAGATAGGAATATGTATGAAAAATGCCAAAAGTTTTATACTTTAGATAAAAAGGTTTGGATTTAAGTAGCCACAGAATCTCTGATCTGATACACTGATTTCTAAACCTGGCTGATCAGAATCCTCCTTCAAACAGCTTTTACAAGGTATTTTTTTCCAGGCCCTACTCCCAAAGATTTTTATTCCATAGCTTTGGGGTGACAAACCTATTTTTAAAATACTCCTTGGATAAAGTACGAATACATGAATAAACCTTAAACATCTGCTAATAAAAAAGCCAGTCACAAAAGACTACCTATCATATGATTTCATTTATAAGAAATGTCCACAATAAGCAAATTGAAAGCGAAAGAAGTAGATTAGTGATTGCCTAGAGCAGAGACATTTGAGAAAATGCAAACTGACTGCTAATGGGTATGGAGTTTCTTTATGAAGTGATGAAAGTGTTCTAAAATCAATTGTGGTGATAATTGTACTACTCTATAAACATACTAAAAATCACTAAATTGTATACTTTAAATGGATGAATCATATGGAATATGAATTATATTTCAATTTAAGTGGGGTTTTTTTTGGGGGGGGGGTTGTTTTTTTAAAAAGCCTCCTTGGGGTTAATTCTGCTGATTAGTCAGGTTTGGTTGCCACCTGACTGTTGTCTCTCAGGAAACTTGAAGAGATACTCTCAGGAATGCCCATATCAAAGACATAAGAAAACACAGTTGATTTTACCAACTGTGACACCTGCAAAGGCAGAAGGAAAATAGAAAGGAGGAAAAATGCAAAGTAACTTCAAGGAATGAAAGTCTAACTTCCATTAAAAAGGCAGGCTGTGGAACAGAAAAGCAATGTGAAATTTGATCAACACCCTAACTAAAAAACAAAGCTTCTAGCAACTTTGATTTAATGCTACTTCTTGGTCTTAATAAAGTTCATTCAATTTTATTTCAAAATTGCTACCTACAGAAAGCATTACATTTCTTGAGTTCACTGCTTGAGTCACTGGCTATTTGACTACCTGGAAGTTTGTGCCCTAGCAAAATCACAGGTATTATGTAACAGATCTTTATGATCCATCCCAAACAGTCAAAAATGGGAATAAAATTACAAATCCCAAGAACCTAATAGGTTTTGAGTATGTATCTTCTATCTTCTTCACCATGCTCTCGGCTCTTCAAGATATAGATCTGTACCTTGATCTTGATATCCCCCCAGTGTTTTAAAAGTAACTGGTGTTAAAAGGTTGGCAAATCAACCATTATACTTAGTTCAAGAAGTGCTTTGAAATATTCTGAATGGACGTTCTAGCAGCTACATAAAGAAAGAGTAAGGGATTATCTCCTCCTGGGAGCAAAAAGTATCAAATATTTATTTCTTTTAAATAATATACCATGTATTCTAATCTCTTCCATACCTCTTGCCCTTATGTGACATGGCAAAAGTAAACAAGTAATTTTGACAAATTATATCCTGGACAGACACAAGACTTTATCATTAGATGTTCCTTAACAAAGAAATTTCTCTTTTTTAAATTATATCAGTTAAACATTACCATTACCTGATTGGCTCAGACGATCATAGGCCATCATTTCCAGCAGATTTTGTCCAGCTTCTCCTTTTATTAATTTAATCTTTGGTCTTGGAACCTAATAATTTTAGAATCAAAAATCTTAATTTGGTAATACCCGTATTTCTAATAGTAAGACATTCCTTTCTATTACACTGTGCTGGTTTGATAATGAATAGTTAACCAATGGTTAAACTGAATTAGAAAACAGATTACAAAAAATTGGGAACCAAGGAATTTATATAATCTAGCTATAAAAGATGCATACCAAAAGCACATCCGAGAAACTACTGTTTTTTTTTTTATCCCCAAGTGTGTCCTCAGGAAATTATTTTCTACTAAAAACACATACAAAAGTTACATTCAGGGAATTGGAGAATTTAGTTATATTACTTTTCTACCTTCCATAATCAGGTCTATAGCAGAAGAGATGACCCTACTATAAACAGCACTGGTGAAACCATACTTGGAAATGCCACATTGTGGATAGCACATTTTCAAAGAATATGAGTAACTGGGATACTACTGGGATAAATGGGAACAATCAAGAGAATAAATAGACTCTTAGCCCTATGTTACGTAAAACAGTGGAAGGGATGAATAAATAGAATAGCAAAGAGAATACATAATAGCTGTGTTCAGATATTAAAATTATTTTGTAAAAGAAGTATTAAACTTTTTAATATCACCAAAAGAAAAAACAAGACCGATACATAGCAACTTGAAGTGTATTTTTACTCTATATAAGGAAGCACCAAGAACCAAATTATCCAAAGGCACACTGGACTATCTTTTTTTTTTTGAGACAGAGTCTCGCTTTGTTGCCCAGGCTAGAGTGAGTGCCGCCGTGGCAACAGCTTAGCTCACGGCAACCTCAAACTCCTGGCATCAAGCAATCCTGCTGCCTAGGCCTCTTAAGTAGCTGTGACTATAGGCATGAGCCACCATGCCCAGCTAATTTTTTCTATATATATTAGTTGGACAATTAATTTGTTTCTATTTATAGTAGAGACGGGGTCTCGCTCTTGCTTAGGCTGCTTTCGAACTCCTGACCTCGAGCAATCCGCCCACCTTGGCCTCCCAGAGAGCTAGGGAGCCACCGCGCCCAGCCTGGACTATCTTAAAAAGCAGTGAATGGCTATCACTGAAAATGTTCCATCACAAGCAATGACCACTTACTGGAGATATCCTAAAAGTGACCATATGGATGGCTAGAGTAGCTGCTTTTAAATCTCTCACCGCTTTCTTAATTGGTGGTAGAAATTTAAACTGTACTACCTCTCTAAGGTTGGAAATTTGGCAACAACTTTAAAAATTATAAATGCATAGATGTACCTGGATCCCGCAGTTATTTCAGGCATTTATTTTACCCATATTTTCACATGTAAAATGGCACAAGTTATTCATTGCTGAGTTATTTGGAATAGCATAGGGAAAAAGCAAAAACAAGCTAATGTCCTAGTTTTAGATCCTTGGTTTAAAAAAACACCCCAAACTATGGTACAATACATATAACAGAATAATATGCAAACATCAAAACTAACACATTCTGAGGCAGGAGGATCACTTGAGGCCAAGAGTTCAAGACCAGCCTGGGTAACATTTGAAACCCCATCCCTACAAAAAATAAAAATAAAATAATAACAGTAATAATAAATTGGCCAGCCATGGTGGTGTGTGTCTGTAGGCCTAGCTACTTGGAAGACTGAGGCAGGAAGTTCCCCTGAGCCGAGTAGTTCAAGGTTACAGCAATCTATGATCATACCACAGTATTCCAGCCTGAGTAAAAGAGTAAGACCCTTCCTCTTAATTTAAAAAAACAAAAAACAAAAAAAACTGGTAAGGATGTTCTTTATATACTGATATGGAAAGATCTCCAAGATACAATTCATGGAAATAAATCAATATAAAAACATAAATCAATATAAAAACAATGACTGAACATTTTTCATGTTTTTAAGAGAGAGGTTGTGTGCGTGTTGGTTAGTATACGCATAAAACATTTCTTAAACTCACACACAAAAAAAATAAGAACACTAGTTTCTACAGGGTGGAGAAGTTTTCTAAAGACATCAAACTATATCATCTGTAGATGTGGAAAAAAACAACAAAAAATAAGAAACAAAACATGGACATAATTCTTCTTGTTTGCAAACTGACCTCAATTCATAAACCTGATCTTTTACAAAATTATTCAAAAGCTGAATTTGTTAGCAGTTAATTAATTATGGATCCACTCAAGTCAAATCATCCCAAGTTACCATTTCCTCATCTTAACTAAAAGGTTTCATGAGACATTGTTGAATGCCTCACTGAGAAACACATACATTTCCTAGAGCCACAGCATTCCTCTCAAGAGTCTGAAAACCTTACCATACAAGTTAGTCTGACATAACTCCTAAAATAGCCAAATGCCAGCACACAATCTGCTTTTTATGCTTACAATCATTTGATAATTAAGCTTTAAAATAAACTGATAATATCAAATCCAAGCATCTAAGATGTGTCTATTACATATCCATTCCACAGAAATATGTGGTAGTTAAAAAGATTGAGGTAGATTATCTATATGCTAAAGTGAGAGAAATATGAAGAAAAGCAAGGTATTTGGCAGTAGGTAAAGCATACCCATGTTGAGGTATAACATGTTTTATAAAGATGGGGTTCTCACTATGTTGCCCAGACTGGTCTCAAATTTCTGGGCTCAAGCTATCTCCCAACCTCAGCCTCCTGAGTATCTGGGACTACAGAGATGAGTCACCACGCCCAAAAAAACAATTTTTTAAGAGAGAGCCTATATTATATGTTTGCATATGCAAAAAGTACTTCTTAACCCTTTGCACTCGGATGTCGAGTGTGACTTGACACGGTTAGCAAAAAGAGATTATAGAGATTAAAATTACTCTTTTTTTTTTTTGGAGCAGAGGTCTTGCTTTGTTGCCCAGGCTAGAGTGAGTGCCGTGGCATCAGCCTAGCTCACAACAACCTCAATCTCCTGGGCTCAAGCAATCCTGCTACCTCAGCCTTCCAAATAGCTGGGACTACAGGCATGTGTCACCATGCCCAGCTAATTTTTTGTATATATATTAGTTGGCCAATTAATTTCTTTCTATTTATAGAGACGGGGTCTCGCTCTTGCTCAGGCTGGTTTCAATCTCCTGACCTCGAGCAATCCACCCGCCTCGGCCTCCCAGAGTGCTAGGTTTACAGGCGTGAGCCACCGCGCCCGGCCAAAATTACTCTTTGAATGTATCAATAATTTGAAATATAAAAAAATCCAAATAAGTAAGTTTGTATGAGAAGAAACTCCAGTTTTTCATTCTACTTCTGTGCTTTGTAAAGTCTGGGGCATTTAAAAACTTAAATCCTGAGTAGAATAAAGGAATCGAGAAAAAAGCAAGCAAGTGCAAAGGGTTAATACCCAAAAAAACTGCTAACAGTGGTCTTCTAAGATAACCAGTTTGGGTAAGTGAGTTAAGAGGGAGACTACTTTTTCGTTATTATAATAAAAAAGTTCACAGTCTAGATATAGTGGCTCACGCCTGCAATTCTAGCATGTTAGTAGGCTGAGGCAGGAGGATTGCTTCAGACCAGAAGTTCGAAAACGGACTGAGCAAGGGCAAGATCCTGTCTCTACAAAAAAGAAAGAAAGAAAGAAAAATTAGCTGGGCCTGGTAGTGTGCAACTGTAGTCCCAGCTATTTGAGAGACTAAGGCAGGAGGATCACTTGAGCCCAAGAGTTTGATGTTGCAGTGAGCTATGGTGGATGATGTCACTGCCCTCTAGCCCAGGTGACAGAGCTCCAAAAAAAAAAAAAAAATTTCACAATTTAAAATGGTTGACTGTGTATATTAACTTTTAAAACTGTATCGTTACAGGCCGGGCGTGGTGGCTCATGCCTGTAGTCCTAGCACTCTGGGAGACCCAGGCGGGCAGATTGCTCAAGGTCAGGAGTTCAAAAACCAACCTGAGCAAGAGCGAGACCCTGTCTCTACTATAAATAGAAGGAAATTAATTGGCCAACTAATATATATAGAAAAAAAAAATTAGCCAGGCATGGTGGCGCATGCCTGTAGTCTCAGCTACTCGGGAGGCTGAGGCTGTAGGATTGCTTGAGCCCAGGAGTTTGAGGTTGCTGTGAGTCAGGCTGACGCCATGGCACTCACTCTAGCCTGGGCAACAAAGTGAGACTCTGTCTCAAAAAAAAAAAAAAAAAAAAATGTATAGTTACCAAAGAATTTCTACAAAAGACAAGAACCGTTTAATGTTTATATGAACTAGTGAACTTCACTAAATTCACTAATTTTCACTAACACACATATTCCTTATGTACAAAGTGTTTCCACTGAGCAAATATTAGCCTTTAACATTATATGCTGATTATCAAGTGTTTTTAAAAGATCGATATACCTCCTCTAAAGCAAAGACTCATTTTATAAGCCTGGCTTAATGCTCTTTTGGGAGACTGCTTATTTCTTTTCATTTAAAAAGTATCCATCGGAGTAGGTAATCGCTTCTCAAAAAAAAGAAAGAAAAAAAAAAGAATAAAAAATAATGAAAAAAATATAAAAAAAATAAAAAATAAAAGTAATGTGAACTCATAAGAAAAAATAAAACTAGAAAAATTGATTGGTAAGGAATATCAGCCATCACCTAAAAACAATGGTTAATATTATATTTGGCATATTTTGTTCCTGTCATGTTCTACATATAAGGAAAAGTTTTGTTTTCAAAGATTAATATACTGTTATATATAACATACTATCATGTTATATACGTCATATTTATAGAAATACTTTGTAAAATTATCATGTTCAAATGGTAATCACTTTCTAGCATAGCTCACATACCTATTCCCCCCCAATATTATTAGTTTTTTGTCCAACTCACATATATCTTTTTCAATCAAGTTTAACCATATTTGAGATTATGTCCTTATGTTCCCAGAAATGGCAGAGTAAAAAAAAAAAAAAAAATCAAACTCTCCCAAATGGTCTTCAAACAAGTCATTGCAATGTACACTATAAATAGTAGTGCATCAACACTCCTGTTTCACCAGCCTCAACAGTATTGCGTACATCTTGGTTTTTTTCACCCTATCAAATTGACTATTTCACTTTAACTGTAATTCTATAGATTTGTTCACATATTATTATAACATACCAGGGCATACCTCCATTTGAAACACATCAAATTCTCAGTGAAATATGTCAACTGCACCTAAAACTGGAAAAGGCTTACCTGAAATGCTATGAGATAGCACAATGCAGCCAGCTCAGAGAGAGCTCGCCACTGTACATCACTATGCTGACCCATCTTCAAAAGCAGAGAACCAGCATGCATGTAGAAATGTCCTTTCATTTCTAAGAAAGTAGCTGACAGTTCATCATTTCCACCAACAGAAGATTTCACAGACTGAAGAGCACTATCCAAACTGTAATATTAAAATATTATACAGGTAGTCCACATTTACTGCATTATAAATAACCCTGTTTTCATTAGTGTATTTATTTCAAGTTTCATCTTCACAAACTTCTAACAATTCTTATTCTGCATTTTAGAAATTAGAAATCATCTAGTGCTTATTTTTTTCCTGCATATTTCAGCTTAACCTCTAGAATGATGTCTTACTCCCAGTTATTTCCAGCCCTCCAATCACAGAAAAGATACACATCAAATCAGATTAGTGATTATAGGTGGACTTTCCATAATGAACCAAGTAAAGTTGGGAAATTATATTCTAGTTTGTTCCTGATCATATAGTTTCATTATTCAAGTTCATAATTTCTCACATTATAATTCCATTTCCAAATTATAATAACTTCTAAGTACCAACACTATAACAGCTCCTCTTACTATATAGATATAATTAGAGTTAAATAAATTATATTTACTTATTATTATTTGTAGTCTATATTCTAATTAGTGCTTCTAAATTCTAATGATCCTCAGAATCTGCACTTGGGAAGAAAAGTAAAAGCAAAAACTTTAAAATGTTCAGCATAATTTTAAAGAAACTCATAATAAAGAAATAAGAGCAACAGGGATTTCTTCTAGCAAATGAGGTATGGAGATCTGAGGGTTCTCAAAGACCCCCTTCAGGGGAATCCATGAGGCTACAGTTATTTTTATTTTTTTGAGACAGAGTCTTACTCTGTTGCCGGGGCTACAGTGCCGTGGCATCAGCCTAGCTCACAGCAACCTCAAACTCCTGGGCTCAAGCGATCCTACTGCCTCAGCCTCCATCCAGGGTAGCTAGGACTACAGGCATGCGCCACCATGCCCAGCTAATTTTTTCTATATATCTATTTTTAGTTGTCTGGCTAATTTCCTTCTATTTTTAGTAGAGACCAGGTCTTACTCTTGCTTAGGCTGGTCTTGAACTCCTGAGCTCAAACAATCTGGCCACTTCAGCCTCCCAGAGTGTTCGGATTACAGGCGTAAGCCACCGCGCCAGGCCTGAAATTATTTTTGCAATAATACTAAGAAACTTTTTGTCTTTATCGTTCTCCCTTTCTCATGTATGTATAGCAGAGGTTTCATGACATGTAATAGTTTAACAGATTGAAAGAGGAAGTCAATGAATCCAGCTGTGTTCTATTAAGCCAGACATTAAAAGGATTTATAAAAATGCAAACTATCACTTTTCTGCCTGTTTTATCGTCTTGAAAAATAATTACTTTTCATAAAAAAATGCTATTATTCTTAGCATGTAATTGGCTTATTATAATGAGTTTAATATGTTTTAATTTCTCAATTTTAATTTCTAATATGATACACACCAACAATAGAAATAACCCAAAGATCTTTGATGTCCTCAGAAAGTGTTAAAAGGAACTTGTGATCACAAAATTTGAGTATATAAGACACACAAAATAAAAAAACCCTAAATATTTTCTAAAATAATCTAAAAATTTAAGTTAGTTCTTTTGGATTCCACCCTCACTTATTCTACCAATTCAGGACACTAACTACTTTTCCAAGGAAACTATCTACCCCCTATACTCAGTGAAATGAACTTTTCTTATGCCAGATGGAAAAAGAATTTCCAAACAAATGGATAGGCTAAACCAGGGATCAGTAAGTTTTTTCCACAAAGGGTTAGACACTAATCTGGCTTTACAGGCATACAGTTTCTGGACTCTGCCCTAGTAGTGTGTAAGCAGCCATAGATAATACATAAAAAGGCATGCTATATTCCAATAAAACTTTATTTACAAAATTAGGCAGCAGGCTATATTTGGCCCAGAAGGTCTAATCCTGCAGACATTAGTGGTCCATGGTGTGTTAGGAAATGGCTGCACATTACCACCTGAGCTCTGCACCACACCTCCCTCACCCGTGACAGTCTGTGGAAAAATTGTCTTCCATGAAACTGGTCCCTGATGCCAAAAAGGTTGAGGACCACTGGTCTAATCAATCCCTGCTCTAAACTAACATCTTTATACAAATTCAAGTGATGTTTTGTTCAATGGAATTATTTTTCATCAAATACAACTACTGGCTCTCAAAATCAAAGTTTAGGAAAACAGAAAAATCATATATTTGAGTTATTTCTAAACTAAAATGTATTTTCTGAAATGTTAGTGATGCTAAGTGCTCATTAGTATAAGTATCTGAATGAGCCTATAGCCATCTGATGACAAACTTTATCATCTGATTTTCATGCAAGATATCCTATTTTTTAAAATAAAATATGAAATAGCTGTTAGAATATTTATTTTAAGGTTTCATTTATTAAGTTTGACAGATTCTTTAACTATAAGGCTAATTTCAATCAAGTCAGAACTATAAGAGTTCTCAAAATTGAACTCTTTAAAAAACCAATTATAACATCCCCATAGTAGTAGTAAAAATAAGATTCCCTCCAAGTGTTTCATCATATTAACTATAACTCCTGGGTACATTATAGAAATAATGATGCAGTAAAAAAGTTTAGACCAAAGAACTGAATTACTGCAAAAAGAAAATCTGTGTTTATACTAAAGTACTTTTCTCAAAGTCAACATACCTTTCCAATAATTCTCTGCTTTCCTGCACATCTCTACTGGAAAGTGTAAGAAACATAAGGTTAGCATAGGCCAGAAGTAAGTCTTTATTGGTTGCTCGCCAGTCACTTTTATCAGACTCCAAACACTGTAAAGATTCCAGATATTCCTATTTCATAGAAAGAACAATAAGTTACAAAAAGTATTCAAATGTTAAGAAATTGAACATTTTATGTCTATAAATTCCTTTGCTTACTCCCATCACATTTGTGAAACTATACTGATGTTTATATCAGTTTTATAAATAAAAACACTAAAAAACATATACATTTATCACAATAATCTCCCGAATCTCCCCATTATAAATTTAATGCTGGTAAAAATTTCACCTTATAGCTGCTTTATATAAATGAAAGAAATTTAAGTCTTGTGGTGGGGCAAGGGGACTACTTAAATATGACAGATGTATGCTAATTGTCTACACAGAAGTTTAGAGGCCCAACAGCTTTTACCTACCTTAAGGGTCTGTACCACACACAAATTCCATTCTAAACTTGAACGCAAAGCTATGTTCCTCTCTGCCTCATGGCAGTGGGCCACAGCATCTTTCAATCTTTTATTTGAGCGATACAGCTCCACTAGTCGGATGTTCACATGGACATCATCAGGCCTTGCATAAAGTTCTGACTGAATCAAGTCAAAAAGCTTATTCCATCCATCTTCACCTTTACAGTCTAAAAGCTGTTCCTATTTGGGAAGAAAAAAAATTGTTAAGAGTAACACCTATGCAATATTAAGCAGGTCACAGTCAGGATGAGCACCATTCCACCATATCTAGCTTTAGGATAGTGCCACCAAAAGTACCACCCTACATACCTCATTATCAGTCCCTTTATGGAGTTGCTTACAAGCCAGAAGCCAACTCTCAAGAATGTTATGTAAAGAAAAGCATCTAGGATTACTACAGTAGCTATGGTTGCCCATACTCACCTCAGAGACTACCAGGACTACTGCTCTACGTCCTTGTATACCTCAGTCACCACCAGAAGCCTAGGCCTCTCCAGCCAACCTCAGCAACAGGGTCCTCATCTTCCAACTGCTCTGTATATCTCTAAATTTGACTCAATTCCTCCCACCCCCCATACTCCCACTGTTCTGCTATCTTCATCATCTTCTCAAAGCACTGTCATCACCTCCTGACCTTAACTTAAGAGAGTATCATCTCACAACAGCCCCTACCACCTGTGTGCCATGACTGCTTCTTTTCTCTCTTCTTTCTACATATAAGGAGAGGAAGTGAAGCTAGAATAAAACACTCTTTGTCCTTAACAACTGTCATTGGTATTAGCAATTAAAAGATACACCGAAATACCATAGCTTAGCCATTTAAGTTCTTTAATCATCTCATCTCCAGTGAGTTGTACTCTGCTCCAACCTCAGCCTTCCATCCGCCATTGACACAGGTCTTCAAAATCTGTATTTTGGTCATATCATTCAAACCACCACACACCCTTCTTATTCTTCCACCTCACTCCGGGCCCATGTGCACTCACTGCCACATATACATTCCTACACCACATGAAAAGCTCCCTTTAGTACACTGACATCACTAAGTTTTAATTAATCATAAAACACACACACAACACACAAGCACTTTCCTTCTTTCACCAAGTGAAAATGCTATAATCCCTAATAGTCATAATCATTGTGTTTGCCTACAGATCCCTTCAATTAATTCTCTCTACCGTCCCTCAAAAGAATCTGGCCAACTGCTTTTTGTGTGCCTACACACTAACAGTTAAACAATTAGGGAATAGACAGGTGGAATTAGGGAAATCACAACTCCAGGCTGATTTCATTTTCATTATCTCAAACCTCAAAACTGCTACTTAGAACAAAATATTCATTTAACTTCTAATAGACTCACTTTCTCCGTTCCCTAAAAAGATCACTTCATGTGTCCTCCTATTTCCTCAACTTTCTCACACCTTCCTTCAACCCTCATTTTCAACTTGGAAATTCATCCCTCACTAAGAAACCTGAAGCCACCATATGTAAATTCTACTTTACCTACTTGCACTCATCCTCTCCCCACTCTAAGAAAGACCAAGTCCTCTGTTAGTGCTCTGTATTTCATTCCTCTCTCATTAATTTCATTAATTTCTCCCCTTCCATAAACTTGTACCTGGCCTCTCTGTATCTATAAAAGCCCTAGTCTTCAACTACATGTTAAAAAAAGAACACCACAAATATGAATGTTTTAAAAAAATTCTTTAATGCTCAAGAGAAAAAGCCTTCTCGCCAGTAATATTTTCATTCCTCAAATAAATGCCAGAAAATTATTTACCTTAGTAAGGCTTAAATTATAGGAGAAATAAAATTACTTTGCACAATTATAAATCTCATGGATTTCAATTCCAAAAAAATGAGAAAAAATCTGATAAAAGAAAGGTATTAGCCTCAGACAAAAGTGCCTTAAAAAGTTATTTTAAAAAAGGCAGAATAATTCAAAAGTATCTAACTTTTCTTAGACTAAAGAAAAATAATCCCCTACCACAATATAGGTTCTTAGTACTACTGACACCAAATGAAGTGGATTGCCATGGCCAATATAGGAATCATGCTTGAAGCATAATACAAAAATAATATGGTAAAGAAATCTGCACAATTAGACCTAACAGTTTACACTAATATTTAAAATCAAGCTGCTTATCACGGGGTGGAGGGGGACTTAATGTTATTAGTATTTAACTCTAGGAGCTTTTAAAATCCTTTTTCAGATTTAAATATCTGTGCATGATTGTTCATAGCAGATGAACAATAGCCACAAACTAGAAACAATCAAAATGTCCCTTAGAAGTGAACTGGTTAAGCTGTGAACCATGAAAATACTATACAGCAGTAAAAAAACAAACTATTGATACCCACGACTTAGATGGATCTCAAAGGGGTAGTTTGCTAAGTGAAAAAAAGCCAACTTCAAAAGGTCACATACTTCACGATTCCAATTATATAACATTTTGAAATTACAAAAGTATAGAGATGGAGAATAGATTAACGGTTGCCAGAGGTTAGGGATGGTGGGGAGGAGGAGGTAGGTGTGACTAAAAAAGGGACAGCCTGAGGGAGATCTCTGTGGTAAGGGAGTAGTTCTCTATCTTGGCTGCAGTGGTGGTTACAGGAATCTACACACGTGATAAAATGAAAAAGATCTATACATACATATTGTACCTGTATCAAATTCCTGCTTTTGATATTGTACTACAGTTATAGTAAAAAATAGGCTAAGAATCCCTTATCCAAAATGCTTGGGGAAGCCTGTTTCCTAGAGTGAGCACCAGAAGCATGCTGGGTTATATTACATAATTTATTTTTTTTTTGAGACAGTCTCACTCTGTTGCCCCAGCGAGAGTGCTGTGATGTCAGCCTAGCTCACAGCAACCTCAAACTCCTGGCCTCAAAGCGATCCTTCTGCCTCAGCCTCCCGAGCAGCTGGGAGTACAGGCATGTACCACCAAGTACAGCTAATTTTTTATATTTTTGGTAGAGACAGGGTCTCACTCTTGCTTAGGCTGGTCTCAAACTCCTGAGCTCAAAGGATCTGCCCGTCTTGGCCTTTCCAGAGTACTAGGATTACAGGCATGAGCCACCTCGCCCGACCATATTACATAAGTTTTCACTACCAAATAAACGTTCCCACTGGAATGACCAACTGAAATAATAACCTACCCAGACCCTTACTATCCTGTGACCTTAGGTTAGTCACTAAAATAGGAATAATTACAGGCTTCAAGCTGTAAGCTTAACATTTGTAGCAAAGGGCGAGCTCCAACACCCCTTGTAAATGCGAACTCAGGTGGTAGTATTTGAGGATCGCTTGAGGTCAGGAGTTTGAGACCAGCCTGAGCAAGAGTGAGGCCCCATCTTTACCAAAAATAGAAAAAATTAGCCAGGCGTGGTGGCACACACCTGTAGTCCCATCTGCTTAGGAGGCTGAGGCAGAAGAATTGTTTGAGTCCATGAGTTTTTAAGGTTGCTGTGAGCTAGGCTAATGCAAGGCACTCTAGCCCAGGTGACAGAGTGAGACTCTGTCCCAAAAAAATAAAGAAAGAAAGAAAATAAATAAATCTTCAAAAGTATTTTTTTATAAAATGTTTGGGACCACAAATGTTCTCAGTATCAGATTTTGGAATATTTGCATTATACTTAGCAGGTAGAGCATCCCAAATATGAAAATCTGAAATCCAAAATGCCCCAATGAGCATTTCCTTTTTGAGTGGCATGTCAGCACTCAAAAAGTTTCAAATTTTGAAGCCTTTCAGATTTTAGGTTTGGGATGCTCAACTTGTATAATAATTAGGGAAAACTGTAAGGTACACAGGTGTTTCTGCACAATCTCTGCAATTTCCTGTGAAAAAATCTGTAATTATTTCAAAATAAAAAATTCTATCAGAAACATGTATTATATAATGTGGGTAAGAGGGCCACCAAAGATAATACATATTTATAATTCATGTAATATTATATATATTAATGATGTATTAATAATTGTTATATAATTACTGTATAACAATATACATTTAAAATGTATTTGTCAAATACATTTGAAAGGCTTTCTCCCAAGCAGAAAATTAGTAAACCATATTTTACTCAATAAAGAATAACAATCAGGATCAGTTAATACATTAGCAAGAACTTCCTATCATTTTCAGTAATTACCTCTAATATACTAGAAAAATCATCTTGTATATTTTGCTTGAAAATCTCACTGTCCCATAAGACAATCCTTTCCATTTTTAGACAATAGTTATTAGAAAACTCTTCTTTATGATAATCCTAAATTTGTCATCCTTTAGGTAATTTTAACCTAATGAAGCAAAAATTTTAAACAAGAGTTTAATTTAAATCTTAACTCCACCATTAGCTACTAAACTGTAAAATCCCTAAAATATTAAATATTCCAGAAGGGTAAATGAGATATCACTTGTAAAGCTTAACAGTGCCTACAAGACAGCAGATGCTCAGTAAGGTTTTAATGATTTTTGTAAAAAAAAAAAAAAATTTTAAGGAAATACTCCAATTTAAGGTTTGCAACTATAAAGTAATTTAAGCTCCAAATAATGTAAATGGTTGTCTTAAGTTCTCCTTTTATATGTTTTATTAGGTTTGCTTTTTTACCTTTAGTTTATAAACTGCTGGACTTCCTGGGAAAAGTTTAGCTGCTCTTTCAACCCAATATTTTGCACGTCCATCAGTAACATCATTTTTACAAAGCAACTCTGCAATCTTCAACACTAGATCTTTTTGTGTTGGGTTTAATTCCACCGAACGCTGATACCAGAAAAGAAATAAAAAATTAGCAAATGATAAATTCTACATGTAAGTATATACACTCATACACAGGTTAAAAAATTATCATTGCGCCCATTAAAAACTATATCCTAGATGACAACATATTGTGTCAAAGTTGTTAAAATTAAAGCGTCTTGGAATTTTCTGGAAATGAATCAAATTAAAAATTATGTTTTATTAGGTGGATGCAAAACAACACATACATGAACACTAGTTTTGACCATGTTAGACTTTAAAATTTATAGGTGTTAAATTGTAGTGTACTTTGGGCCAAATAATTTTAAATCTGTTGCTTAATAGTACTATGATACCAATGCTTGTTTTCATGACATCTATAAAATATAGATGTAACTTATTCGTTACATAAATTACTCTGGGCACCATGTGTTTGGCTGTGCAAAGGCTTTATTTCAATCCTATAATTTACCTTATAACATTCAACAGCTTTGTCTGTGTTTTCCTCCACTTCATAAAGAAGACCCAGAAATCTGTGAGCTTTGGGGTCCCTCTCTTGCACATTAATATACGCAGATATGTATCTGTTTTAAAATAATACAAAAGAAAATAATCCTTCAATTATTAAATTTAAAATTATTTAAATGCTAAATGAAAAGTACATCTTAAACCAAAGCAACCACTAATTTATAGTTGTTATTCAATTGACTACCACTATTTACTTAAACTGGAACATGCACATAACTCAAAAGCATTTACAGGAAAAAATGGATAATTTTAATGCTTAAAATACAAACACACACAGAATTGACAATATATTCATTTTACCATTAAATGCCACATTTACCAAATGCTTTTTCCAGTGTTATCCTCACATAAGAAATGAACATATAAATTGCTTTTCTTCCTGATTACATTTTGGCAAAGCACTAAAAGAGTTTTGCATTTAAATTAGAAAAGTGATTACAGTAAACATTTTTAAAGTTATCATACTGCAAAATACTAAAGAGCAACAATTTCCCAAACAACAGCAAAGAAAATATTTTATTCTTTAAACAAGAATAACATGAAACAAGTGCTTTCTAATAGCACTGTACCCAGCTAAAATTGAACAAAAAAATATTACTAACTACACTATAGGTAAGTAAATACAGGTAATTTCCACTTCTTAAATCAAGTAACAAATAAAAATAAATGAATATCCTCTAGGTTCAGTGGCAGTGTTACCTATCATAAGAGAAATTAGACCAAAGACAAAAACTACAGGAGAATGCTGCCAGTTACATAAAGTACCACTAAATAAAGTCCATTTTCCTATCTTATCTATTTTTCTGGCAATGCCTTTAACACATTAACTGCCATGCGAGTTGTATTTAACTCATGCTAGTTTTAAGCCCGGGGCCCGGTAAAGCATATGTAACTCACATGTCTCTTTACCTTGGGAGCCTCATGAACTGCTTTTCAAGTTGCATATAACTCACGCACAGAAGACAACAAAAATGACAAATTTTTCATTAAATTAGAAAAGATCATTTTATTTTCGAAGTTTTTATTCTATCTTCGTAATAAAACACTGTGGCCCCAAGAAAAACAATTTTTTTTCTAGTGTGGCAGTCAATGTGTTAATAGCCCACCTGCCTTCTAATTTCCTGCTTTAAGCTATGCCAAAGTCAGGAACTCAGAATCACCAAGCTTCTTAGTCCTAGGAATCAGACAAAGTCTCAAAGTGTCACATATTAAGTCAAATGAAGAAGTTTTATACAAGCTATTCTACTTGCCTAGTACTTGCAGTTTAATTTTGTATTCATTGCTATTTTCCAGTTGATTAAAGATATAGGCATGGTCCTCTTCTAACACAGGACAATTTTTAGACAAAGTGTTTTAAGCCAAACAAATTTCTTGCACTAGGAATGAACCAGCAGCAGCATGCAGAAAATACTCATCCTAGGATTAATCTCAGTAGAATCTAGGCTGGTCCTTAACATCAATCTCAGAGGGATGAATCCCTTATTCCAGGGTACACTTAGGAAGAATTACTAAAGATCGTATTTTTATCTATTTCAAAGAACATTAGGAAAGGCACTGATTTTAGAAAACTAATGGTTGTTTATGGTTTGTACTTACTTTTTAGCAAGATCATATTCTTTAGCTTCATAATATAGCTTCGCAAAATAAAATCCTTTCATTGATTTCTAAAAAAAAAAAAAGTTTTTTTACTTTTCAGACAGAAATACTTTGTAACTTTTTTCAAAAGGACTAAAAATTTGTCCTAATAAAGCTGTTAAAATATTTTATTTTTGTTCACTTAAAAGGTGAAAATTTTTTAAATTGTCTGAAAAATGTATGTATATTCTGAAAGTCATGATCCCATGTTTTATAATTCCTATCATAAAACAAAAATAAATTTAACAATAGCAAGACAAGCAGACAATAGATGTTAAGAATTTACATCAGCCTTGAAAACCTTAGAAACCATGTGGTACCTCTCTCTCACTTTACAAACAGGTAGAGAGAAAACAGCTTCTCTACGCAGGGAGAGGTATACCAGAAGCCTCTCTTCTCCTACCATGTGTAAACCCAGAATAAGCAAGTACTTCAGACCTGTTAAGACACTGACGGTTCCCTGGTCCATGTACTGTTCTCTCTACAAATCAAATCTGTTTTACACACACACACATTTTTTTAATATATATTTATTTTGATTGAGAGGGTCTCACTCTGTTGCCCAGGGCTGGATTGCATGGGCCTGATCATAACTCACTGCAGCCTCAAACTTCTGGGATCAAAAGCGATCCTCTGCCTCAGCCTCCTGAGTAGCTGGGATTACAGGTGTGTGCCACCACGCCTGGCTCATTTTTTCTATTTTTAGTAAAGACAGGGTCTCATTCTTGCTCAGGCTGGTCTCGAACTCCTGAGCTCAAGCAATCCTCCCACCTCAGCCTCTGAGAGTTCTAGGATTACAGGCATGAGCCACCACGCACCATTAAAGGCACTGAGGAATCAGCAGTAATGAAAAGCCTCTGTCTTCATGAAGCCTGCACTCAGTAGCAGTAACAAGCAAATACATATTTATTAGGGAGCATGAAAGGGGTACTATTTTTATAGTATCCCACCAATTATTTACAGTATTTCATATTTTAACAAATATAAAATCAGTATTCATCTCACAAATGATAGGCATTCTAACAATTTGGCAGTGTTTCTTCTTAATTGGTAATGATGGCGGGGTGCAAACAATGGCATCTTAGATTCAATAAAAGAGACAAAAGCTGTCAAGGAATATTCTCTTTGAGGGGAATTTGATCAGAAACCTGAATACAGTGAAGAAGAGGTTATCCTGGTCAGACTAGACAGCAGATAAACTATAATAATTTAATGAGTCCCCACTGTTTATTACATAATTTGTTTCAGTTTTTCCTTCTGATGAAACCTGCAGAAAATATTCTTAAGTCACACCATCTTTGTGAAATAGACTCTTCTCACGACTTCCAAGATACCATGCTGTCCATAGCTTGACTTCTACATTAGCAGCTGTTTCTTCTCCAGCTCCTTCACAGGCTCTTCCTCTCTCCACACCGACTTCCCCAGGAGTTGGTCCTAATCCCACTTCCTCTCAGTAAATCTTATCTATGACATACACTGAATCTCACCTATGACTACTGACTATATGTTGACACTCAAATATTTATCATTGGATCTCACCTCTCATGAACTCCACATTAATGTCCAAAATATCATCAATAAGACCTGTCAGTTCTACCTTCTATTACTACATCACCTCAGTCCATCCACTTCTCTACATCTGCACTGCTACTACCAAAGACCTTTCAACATTTTCAGACCACAGGTACTATAGATAACTATTAATAAAACCGAGGGTGGCAAAACCACCTGTAAGGGGGTACTACTGTACCAGCAATGAAAAATCAGAAAAGGAAATTAAGAAAGCAAACCCATGTTGTTTGAAGGTCAATTGCATATATAGAAATAGTCCCTCAGCCGGGCGCAGTGGCTCATGCCTATAATCCTAGCACTCTGGGAGACCAAGGCAGACAGATCACTGGAGGTCAGGAGTTCAAAACCAGCCTGAGCAAGAGACCCTGTCTCTACTAAAAATAGACAGAAATTAATTGACCAACTAAAATATATATATATACACAAAAAATTAGCCAGGCATGGTGGCACATGCCTGTAGTCCCACTGTTTGAGCCCAGGGGATTGAGGTTGCTGTGAGCTAGGCTGATGCCACGGCACTCACTCTAGCCTGGGCAACAAAGTGAGACTCTGTCTAAAAAAAAAAAAAAAGAAAGAAGGAAAGAAAGAGTCCCTCAAATCTATGTATATTTCAATAGCAGAAGAACAGACATAGCAAAATCTCAACAGTAATCATCTCAAGATTTTTGAATCATCTGTATTTTTCAAATCTTAAAAAATGGAAAGCAATTCCATTTACAATAGCATCTAAAATAATAAAGTACCTGGGAATAAATTTAATCAAGGAGATGAAAGTCCTGTATGCTGAAAATGACAAACAATGCTCAAAGAAATTAAAGACCTAAATAAATGGAAAAATATCTGTGTTTTATGGATAGGAATATCTAATATTGTCAAGATGTCAATATTATCCAAAGCAATCTACAGGTTCAATACAATCCTTATCAAAATTCTAACAGCCTTTTTTTGAAATATGAAAAAGCCAATCCTCAAATTCATATGGGCATGCGAGGGGCCCCAAACAGTCACTTTTGAAAAATAACAACGAAGTTGGAGGAACTCACACTTGCCAATTTCAAAACTTACTACAAAGCTACAGCAATCAAACCAGTGTAATACTGGCATAAGGACCAACATACAGACCAATGATACAGAATTGAAAGTTTAGAAATAAACCCATAAATCTATGGCCAGTTGATTTTTGGCAAGGGTCTTAAGTCCATTCAATAGGGAAAAAACAATCTCTTCAAAGATGGTGAAGATACAACTAGATTTCCACATGTGAAAGAATAAAGCTGGACCCCTACTGCAAACATGCCGCATACAAAAATTACCTCCAAATAGATCAACAACTTAAACATAAGAGCTAAAAACCATAAAACTCTCAGAAGAAAACATAGGAGTAACTCTCCATGACCTGAGATCTTTATCTCAATAAAATTGGTTTTTAAAAAACTCTAACTTTATGTCAAAATAGTGACACTTAGAAAATTATTCCAAGTTTAAGGTACGTTAGTATTTTACCTGTACATCCTCAACAAGATATATTCTAAACCTGAAGAACTACCACCAATCTTAAACTTCACTTGGTATTTTTATCAAAGACTTGAGAAAACAGGTCAAAAAGAATTAAACTACAATTAACCAGAAATACTTTTAAAAAGCAAAGAATAAACAAGAATATAGTGTCTCCCCACTGAATTACTAAATTTAAAATAGGAGGAAGTACGTGACAAAAATTCACAACAGTCAAGATGGCAAAAAAGGAACAGAGTTTCTCACAATGTCAAAAAACAAAAAACAAATTCCGTTACCTACTTTCCATCAAACTATCTTATTAAAGAGGACTACCTTAAGATAAAAAAGTTATTAAAGACTAATATATAGAAGCACTGAATTTTGGGGAAACCTGCTCATCTACTGCCTCCAACCTGCTCATTTTACAAAAGAACTGAATCCCAAGGAGTAAGTGCCTTGTTTAAGGATACATAGCCACAAAGGAACAGAGCCAATGTTATGTCTTGAGTCAGTCACTGCTTCTTTCCATGACACCAGATGCCACTATAAGAAAATACCTGAATTCATTTAAGTTGCTAAGTATCAAGAACTGACATGGGGCTGAAAATAAGAACAGTCAGACACTGAGAGATGCCACACTCTCCCCATCTTGCATAGTCAGCTGACTCCTCCTCCTCCTGCACCCCCTCCAAAAAAGCTGCAGCAAATGAGTTTGTTCTCTGTATGAACCGGCTCCAAATCTGTGTAGTCCCACCAAGGTGAGGACAGGAATTATACAGAATAAGCAAAGTCTAGATATTCAAGCATAAGTCCCCCAATTCCCTTCCCCTGGAAGATGAGGGTAAGGAAATCAAAAAGTAGAACAGGTTGGATGCAGTGGCTCACACATGTTAATCCTAGCACATTAAGAGGCTGAGGCAGGAGGCTAGCTTGAGCCAGGAGTTTAAGATTGGAGTGAGCTATGATGACACCACTGCCGGGAGTGAGACTCTATCTCAAAAATAAAAACTAGAACAAACAGAGAAAAGCAAGAATACGTGAGAAAACTTTGGAGGATCAAACCAGAAAGTCCAACTTTCAGGTAAAAGAAACATCAGAAAGATAACAAAAGAGAGACAGAGAGAGAGAATGAATCAAGAAATAAAAGAAGTATAAAATATAAATATAAATGGTAGAACAAACAACCAAAAGCTTTCAAAGCCAGGCGTGGTGGGTGGTGTGCACCTGTATCCCCAGATACTCAGGAGACAGAGCAGGAGAATCACGTGAGCCCAGGAGTTCATGATCAGCCTAAGCAACATAGCAAGAACCCCATCTCTAAAATATATATATATATATATATGTAAAAAATAAAAAATAAATAAAAGCTGTCAAGAAGCCACTGAGATGTGGGAATCAGTTGCAGAATGAGAGGCCAACTAGACAAAATCTAGAAAAACTAAAGATAAGCCACCTGGAAAAAGAAAAATTATAGAAAGAATGATTATTTTCAACAAGGGCAAAAGCAGATGTGAGGGAGTAGGAAAAGGGCAAAACGGAGGAGATGAACAAATGAAAGCATAATGAAAGACTGAAAGATATGAGATTACAGACACATCAACCCACTCCAGAACCAAGATATTCTAGAAAGTATGGTCAGTTCACAGATGGCCCGCCCCTGCCAAATTGGGAGAGAAATAAATAGTAATGTCTTTCTTTTCTTCACAGCCACTGCCTCTGCCCCCTCCACTATCTCCCTTCCAAGTTATCCAATGCATCCTGTTTTGGCATTTCACTCAAACCTAATTTTATAGAATAGCTTCCCATGTTCCAAACTTACTAACTGATTTATATTCTACTGAAATCTCCAGGTGCTAAGATAAATGAGTTCAACTTAATACTTTTTAAGTGTAAAAGATAGGTGGCCATAATAACCAATTTTTAAAATTTTGCTCCCTTTCTATTTTATTTGATGGAAAAGTTATGTAGTTGAAAGAACATTCTAACTTCTGTAGAGACCAGTGGTTTTTAATCTTTTGGGTGCTAAGACCCCCACCAAGAATCTCATGAAGGCTCTAAACTAGCTTTAAAAGAAAAATACAAAGTCATGTCAATTTCAGGAGGAGTTACAGAAACTCTCAGTAGACTCTTGTCACCACATTCATATTTATGACTATGCCAACAGTTTGAAATTAAAATCTGCATGTAGATATCTATTCCTCTTCTCTGGAGGAACAGGCTGGTGTAACCTATCTCACTGTTCCCAAGAGAAACTAAAATAGATCCATTGACAAAGTCCTGCCCAGCTACCTGACCATGGACATTCAGAATCTTTAATCTCAGCACGTCTCAATATCCACAAGGTTGCTATGAGCACAAAATAAGATAACCTAGGCCTACTTATGGTAAAAGACACAATTATGTTGTTTTTATAATCATGACCATCCACGAGTTTCCTTTTATATTTAATTCCTTTTATTTTTTATTTTTTTAATTTTTTTTGAGACAGACTCTCACTCTGTTGCCCAGGCTAGAGTGCTGTGGTATCAGCCTAGCTCACAGCAACCTCAAACTCCTGGGCTCAAGCAATCCTTCTGCCTCAGCCTCCCGAGTAGCTGGGACTACAGGCATGCGCCACCATGCCCGACTAATTTTTTATATTTTTAGTTGTCCAGCTAATTTCTTTCTATTTTTTTTTTTTAAGTAGTGACAGGGTCTCGCTCTTGCTCAGGCTGGTTTCAAACTCCTGAGCTCAAATGATCCTCCTGCCTCGGCCTCCCAGAGTGCTAGGACTACAGGTGTGAGCCACCATGCCGGGCCTATATTTAATTCCTTTCAGATCTTTATTTTCATAGGCCCTTCCCCAGAACAGACCTTGAACAAATGCCCTTTTAACATCAACAGGAAAAACACTGAATTACAGCTAACATATATTTATGGCTTACTGTGTGTTAAGCACTGCCCTAAATGTTTAACATGGATTATCCTATCAAATCCCATCAATGCTACAATTCGATTTTATTGATGAAAAGTCTAACTTGCCTCAAATTCCGCTTTATAAACAACAGAGTTGTGATTATACAACCTGTGGCAAACTGACTCAAAATCCTGTACACATTCACTCTTAACAGCTTTTCCGTCACTCTCTACATCCAACTGCTAAAATCTTGTTGACTCCAAAACACATCTAGCACGCTATTTTACCTTTGAAGTGGAAAAATGCCCTAACATCCCGTTGTGGAAAAGGTTAAAAATTCTAAGCCATGGTAACAGTGGTCTGTAAGAAATTTGTAATTTCCGACATTCCGGTTTTTCGTGTTTTGTTTTTTTCAGGCAAATAACAGCAGCTTCCAAAGAGTTATGGGAGTGAGAGAGAGGAGGAGTTTGAGTAGTGGAGCTGGACCCTCATAAAGGCCCAGCAACAGACGCCTCAAAACAATAAGAGTTCCCATGTCATTTGCGCTGTCAGGCCATTGCAAATGTGGCTGTCCCTGCCTGGATGCCTACGATATCACCCGTCACAGCGGCAAAAGCCCTCCTCCGGGCTGCGTCAATCCCGGCTGGGTTCCACCAAGCCGAAGAGTTGCGACCTCCGCCGCACCGGTAACTGGGAGACGCGAAGAACCCTGCCGGACACTGTACCCGGGGCGCCCACCGGAGGCCAGTAGGCGTCCAAGCCCCGCCGACTAGGCCATGCAGGCCTGGCGCGGCGCTCGAGCCGCCAAGAAAGCCCGCGCCCGGGTGGGCCCGAGAATGAAGACAGTCGGGAGCAGGCCAGGAGGAAGAGGAAGCGCCCGCCCAACGGCCGCCCGCAAGTCGCCGTCCCCCCACTCCTCCCCCGCCCGCTCGCGAGCCGGCCAGCGCCTCAACCGAACGCGCCAAGGAGCAGCGGCCGTCGGGAGCCATGACACCGGCGCCGCGCGAGGCCCCGGCCGGGCCAGGGCGAGGCCACTGGTCTCTCCCGAACCAGCTCACCTCTCGGGGAGACGGGGAGGAGCCCTGCACCGAGGCGATGTACCGCTCCACGTCGGCCTTGCTGCGCCTCATCGCGCCGCCAACCTGGCTTCACTGGCGCCGGAGGCCAGCGCTTGGCCCCACAGCAGTCGCCGTCTCTAGGAGCAAAGCGCCGGAAAGCCCGTGACGCAGCGCCGTCGCGGACGAAGGGAACCTCACGACTTGCTTGCGTATTGCGTCAGCACAGTGCGCCACTCTGGCGACTGGGGCGCTCTCACTGCGCATGGAACGACTAGTAGGCTCCGCAGTGTTCACAGTCCTTGCAGGCCCGGGTCAGATTTCCGTCGCCAGCGCGCATAGCCTGAGGCGGGAAAAGGACTGTTCAGATCCAAGAGACAACATTTTACCTGCTGGGCTCTTAAGCGTTCTGGTAGTGTGTTCTTAGTTATCATTGCGCACTGCTGTGGGAGGATAAGACACTCAGGCCAATTTGGTGAGCGTGTAAATTGGAACAGTGTTTTTGGAGGTGATTGGTTAAATGTATTGTGTCGGACACGTGTGAATACCAAGTCTTTTAAAATTTATAGTTTTAAAAAGAATATAAGAACATAAAATAATTTATAATATTTTTAAAGTGCATAATTAAAAGGTGGGCCATAAATACTGTTGTGGACGATTACAGTTTTTAAAATACAATCATCCCTTGGTATACGCGAGGAACTGGTTCTAGGACCACCCGCGTATATGAAGATTTTCAAGTTCCACAGTCAGCCCTGCGGTATATGGGAGACCGCGAATAGTATATTTTCTGTCAGCCAAGTGGACCCGTGCTGTTCAAACCCGTGTTGTTCCAAGGTCAACTGCATATATAGAAATAGCCCCTCAAATCTATGTAAATTTCAATAGCAGAAGAACAGGGCATACCAAAATGTCAACAGTAATCATCTCAAGATTTTGAGTCATCTGTATGTTTCAAATCTTCAAAAATGTTCACTTTAAGAATTTGAAATTTAAAATCTTATTTTAAAACAAGGTTTACAGATTGTATTTAATGGTGAGGACATTTTACTTTTTTTTTTTTTTTTTTTGAGACAGAGTCTCGCTTTGTTCCCCAGGCTAGAGTGAGTGCCCTGGCGTCAGCCTAGCTCACAGCAACCTCAAACTCCTGGCCAAGCAATCCTCCTGCCTCAGCCTCCCAAGTAGCTGGGACTACAGGCATTCGCCACCATGCCCGGCTAATTTTTTTTTTTGTTAGTTGTTTGGTTAATTTCTTTTATAGTAGAGACGGGGTCTTGCTCTTGCTCAGGCTGGTTTTGAACTCCTGACCTCGAGCAATCCGCCCGCCTCGGCCTCCCAGAGAGCTAGGATTACAGGCGCCCGACATTTTACTTTTGAAAAGGTCACATTTGTGTATGCAGTAGGGTCTTAATTATGTGGGGAAAATGTCAAATATGTTGAAATTTTTTTTACTGGAAATTGGGATGTTTTTGGTTATGAGTAATTTTTGCCATTTTTGTTTTTTCCATATTTTCTAAATTTTCTATTATGAACAAATATATTGCCTTTATAAAGAAGGAAAAACAGCATTTTGTTTTATTTCAGTCATGTTGGATGTAAATTAATAAAAGGAAAAGATAGTTCTAAGGTTACCAGTGTGACTGACCCACATTAACAGAAATTACATATAAAGAGACTCTGGTTTGGGGTGGAAGATTCTATTTGAGGGAGTTGATGTATTTCACTTTAGTCACCATTTGTATATCCAGGTGGAGATGGCCTAGTAGGTAGATGAAATGATGGCACAAAGATCCCTGTTGGACTTGGAAGTCGTGAACCTCAAGTGATAGGTGAAATCTTGAGTTTGCCTTGGAAAGTGTTTTAATAACAATAGCCATAGCTAGCAAGTAAGCATTTGCTGTGTTCCAACCTCTTTTCTTAGCACTTCACTTGTATTAACTTATTTAATACTCCCAACAACTTTGTGAGAGTACTACTTTTTGTTTGTTTGTGACAGTGTCTCACTCTTGCTCTGGTACAGTGCAGTAGCATCACTGTAGCTCACTGCAACCTCAAACTCCTGGGCTCAAGCAATCCCAAGGCCAAGAAGCTTTCTTCCTGTTCTTGTCTAGTACTTTTACAGTTTCAGGTCTTACATACAAGTTTGCAATTCATTTTGAGTTGATTTATGTTATGGTGTGTGATTAGGGTCCAATTTAGTTCTGCATGTGGATATCCAGTTTTCCCAAAACCTTATCACAGAGACTGCCCTTTCACCATTGTGTGTTCTTAATACCTTTGTCAAAAGTCATTTGTCCACATGTAAATATGTAGATTTATTTCTAGGCTCTAAATTCTGTTCCTTTGGTTTATATATCTGTTTTTTGTATCTGTTTTTATGTAAATATCATACTGTTTGGATTACTGCAGCTTTGTAAAATAGTTTGAAACTGGGCAGTGTAATACTTTTCAGCTTCATTCTTTTTGCTCAAAATTGCTTTGGTTATTCAAAGTCTTTTGTAGTTCCATACAAATTTTAGGATTTTTTTTCTCTTTCTGTGAAAAATGTCATTGGAATTTCGATAGGAATTGTATTGAATGTGAAGATTGCTGTGGGTAGTGTGGACATTTTAACAATACTAATTCTTCCAATCCATGAACACAGGATATTTTTCCATTTGTTTGTATTTTCTTCCATTTCTTTCATCAATATTTTATAGTTTTCAGTCTACAGATCTATCATATCCTTGGTAAAATTTATTTCTATTTTTCTTTTGGTGCTACTATCAATAGTACTGTTTTCTTCATTTCTTTTTCAGATAGTTAATTGTTAGCGTATAGAAATATTACTGATCTTTGTATGTTGATTTCTTATTCTGCAATTTTACAGAATTTGTTTTTCTTAATTTGTACAAAATCTGTACAAATTTTTCTGAATTTGTTTATTCTAACAGTTTTTTTGGTGGAATCAAAGTACATTTATTAAGCTTCAAAACCTCAGTTTTCACCAAAAAGGAGGATAAGTATGTCCTAGGCTTTAAAAGTATGCACGCTCTTCTACTTGATGTTCACTGTATCCCACTTCTTTTCCCAGCATAGACCAGTTCCATTCAAACCTATTCTCACAAGCAAATTACCCTTTCCCTAAATCACACACTTGACCATAATGTTCTCTGCAAAGAATTTTTTTAGCAGCAGGATAAATTCCGCTCTATCAGCTTCATCACAGATGTTGATGCTATGTAGATTCAATTTGAGTTAGAGTTCAATCCATAGAAATAACTAGCTTGAGAAGTTTTTCATCAGCGGCAGTTTTACCTGATCAATCTTCTGAGTCCTCAACTTTTGAATGAATTCAACTAATAAGCATCTAACTTTGGTGCTAATCAAAACTTAAGAGATTTTTTCATCTCAAGTATTTCTATCCTCTGTTGCTGATTGTTATCCATAGCAGATACATTATTTTTCACATAGCAAATGATTCTTTTTTCTTCAGAATCATTCATACTGTCAGTCCATCCCAGCATTTTCTCAGTGCTCCCGCTTTATGTGATTCTATAGTAATCCTAAACTACTGCTTACTACCTAGGACTTTGAACATTCTCATGGCTTCTGAACTTAGTGTACATGATGAGGTTTAAAATGTTGAAACGAGGAATTGTCATGACTGCACATTACTGCTGACACCACCTTTTGTTCTTGGACATAATTGTTTTCACTTTTAAACTTTTGCTTGAATTGCATCTCTGAAAATATAACAGAAACTCCTATACATGGCTGCTCTTGATATCCATATAACCTAAACTGCCTTTCATATGTAGAAATGGATATTTCATCCATCAACTAAGGAAATATTTGGAGTTATCACATAACACAATGCTGCCTAGAAGCATGTGAGGCAGAGCTCGTACAAATCACAGATATACATGTATATATATTTCCTAATTTATGATTGGTACATATATATCTATATATACATATATGCATTTGTATGTATATAACTACATGTATGTACATATGTGTATGTATATATGTGTGAGAATCAAATTCCCTATATCAGTGCTGTCTAATGAAACACAATGTGACACAACATGTAATTTTAAATTTTCTAGTAGCTACCTTTTAAAAAGTAAAAAGAAACAGGAAAATTTAATTTTAATAATTTTTATTCAAAATATAATTTCAACATGTAATTAATATAAATTATTAATCAGCTATCTTCCATTCTGTTTTTTTTGTACTCAGTATTAAAAATCTGGTGTGTATTTTACACATACATGTGAATTCAGATGCTAAGTTTTCATCAGAAATACTTGATCTGTCTATAGCCATATCACTGTGAAGCACCCGATCTCGTCTGATCTCAGAAACTAAGCTGGGGCTGGCTTGGTTAGTACTTGAATGGGAGAAATACTTGATCTGTATTTTGATTATGTAAAATTTAGGATTAAAAAAATAGATTCAGGCTGGGCATGGTGGCTCCTGCCTGTAATTCTAGCCTTTTGGGAGACCATGGGAGAGGATTGCTTTGAGGCCAGGAGTTTGAGACCAGCCTTTGCAACATAGCGAGAATCGCCTCTACAAAAAAATTTAAAAATGAGCCGGGCTTGGTGGCATGAGACTGTAGTCCCAGATACTTGGGAAGATGAGGAAGTGGGATCACTTGAACCCAGGAGTTTGAGGTTGCAGTGAGATATGATGACACCACTACACTCTACACTACACTCTCTAGGCAACACACCGAGACCTTGTCTCAAAAAAAAAAAAAAAAAAATATATATATATATATACACATACACACACCCCCAAGTTGTATTTTGTAATAACTGAATTGAATATCAAGTTTTAATTAAAATTAAACTGAAAATTCAGTTGCTCAGTCACACTAGGCACATTTCAAGTGCTCAGTTGTCATATATGGCTAGGTATTGGGCAGCACAGCTCTATATAATTCTATGGCTTATTGTACAGACATTTAACTTAAAAGGGACAGATTATGTAAGAAAACAGGTTACCTGTAGCAGTCAACATGACTGAAGGAAAATCCAAAAAGCAAGACACCTCAAAAGCTAAAAAGCAGACCTTTAAGGAGAAAAATATCAGGAGCATCAAATGCAGCAAAAAGATCAGGAATGATGACTAAGAAAAACTCTTTAGACATAATTCCTAAAAGTTCACTTTTGAAAGAAATGATACAGGCCTGCACATAGTT